TTGTTCTCTGTCTAAAACAAATAAATAACATCTAAAAAATAAAATAAAAAATGGGGACATCTGGGCACCGATCGGCAGAGGGTTTGGCACCGAACACGGCTGCGTTAGGGTGTGTGTTGCCGCCCCCCAGGAGGTTAGACACGGGCTCACGTCACCTCCCCGCCGCCCCCCCTCCTGTGGGACACCGCTGCAGGGTGATGCTGATGGCTTCCGCCACTGCTGCCCCTCTGGAGTCCCTCCTGCCACCCGCTCAAACTGGTTTGGCCATCTGTCATCCGTCCCAGGGAGCACTGCTGCTTATTAGCTGGGGACAAGGCGACCAGAAAGGGGTCTGCTGGGCGAATTGGGTTACTGGGGGTCGTAGGTGGGGGCGCCCCCTCACCATCCTGTCTCTGGATGGGGGAGTCCACAGGGTGGGATTTACTCCACAGAATGCACTGTTTATAATGATTAAAATAAAATTAAGAAAAATAAAAAAAATAAGTAAACTTTGAAAAAAAAGAATGCAGTGTTCAAAATGCTGGGGGTGGGGGGTGGCATTTCGTAGACCCCTGTGTTTATATTTACCCATGTGTAGATGTGTCAGTGAAAGAACCCAGGTGGCAGGTGGGTATTGATTAGAAAATTCTTAATCTTTCTGTATGTCTGAAATTTTCAAAATAAAATACGGAAATAAAAGTTTTCAGGGCCTGTTCTGGTTTAGCTTAAATTTCCATGGCACCAGTTATGACTTTGACAGTAACGGCCGTTTCTACATAGTTATGCAGCCTTCCTGTGTGGGCCGAGCCCTTCCTCGCCGGTCCGCCTGGGCTGGGGCTGCCGGGCCCGCCCTGCTACCCCTCCATCCCCCCCCGCAGCTGGGGTGGCTGGGTGCCTCCGGCTTTCCCAAAGTTGAATGTACTTACGGGCTGTTTTTGTGTTTTGTGCTCAGAGGTCTGAACATGTCCGAGTTTGTCTGTGACCCTTCAGCAAGGCCTTATGTGTACGACCTCATTGCCGTGTCCAATCATTATGGAGCCATGGGGGTCGGTCACTGTAAGTACTGGCGTCTGTTCCTTTCTCAGGTCTCAGTGGCCCCTTGGCCAGTCCTCTCCCTCCAGCCCCTCCCTGCTGCCAGGCACGGCCCGAGCACGGGGCTCACACAGCCCCATGGGCCTGGGGCCTTTTCCATACTGTTGCCCCTTCACTTGTACAGGGCTTTGTTTGTTTGTTTCCATATTCTTTTACCCAACAATGCCACCTCTGGGAATCTATCCCAAGGAAATGACATTGGGAAAAGCTTATGCACAAACATATCCGTGTATTTATAACGATGAAAATGAGTGACAGCGTGGTAATCAGGGGCCGGTACAGTGGTCCCTCTGCTTGATGGGCGAGTTCACGGCCACTGCAGGACGCCGTCAGTACTGTGGGGCAGAGCCCGCGATGCGTTGTGGAAACTGCATGAAGTTGCATCATTACCGAAGGCAGTATCATTTAGGCTGTGCTAAAATCAAAAGTAAAGAAACTGATCAGGGTGGAGGGAGCCCAGGAGGAGAGATACCAAAATGTTCGTTTCACTTTTTTCCTCCTCGCTCTGCTTTGTTTTCCAAAGTTTCTGTATCGTGTGTGTAGGTTCACTTGTGTAATGAGAAGGCCGCGTCCGTTTTCTTACCTGTGTACGGAGGGGGACTAGTGACGTGTAAGGCAGGAGCTGTCTCTCCTCTTCCTCCTCTGCCGCATCTGCACTGTGCCAGCTGCCACCGCGGGCGCCCCAGTGCGGGTGCCAGTGCGGGTGCCCCAGGAGGTGGTGCCAGGGGAGGCGTCGGCTCCGTTCACACGCAGCAGGGGTTAGAGAACCGCCCTCGCCCCCATGCTCTCCCCTCGCCCGGTGAGCTTTTCCTTCGGCCCAACAGTCTCCTCTCCTGTTCCTCCATTCTTACTGTGTCACCTACTGGCTCCAGATGGCTGCTGTCTCCAGACATCGTATCCCCATTCCAGGCCATCAGAAGAAAGGGAAAAAAGGTCACGACCTTCCCTTTCAAGCAGACCTCCCAGAAGTCCCCTCAGCTCCTGCGTGTGTCTCCTTGGCTGTAACCTGGTCACGTGGCTACACCTGGCTGCAGGGAGAGGCTGTTTGCAATTGGGGCTGTGCCGGGGAGGGGTGCTGTTGGGGGTCTCTGATCACGTCATGCTCTGCAGCACTTAATCTTCACAGCCTTTTCCTCCCCAAATTAACTTGGATGTCTGTTCGTGTTCGCAGTCCAGTGGAGTCGTTTTGAACTGCTGTTTTAGCACGCGGATGTAGCGTTTGGGCAGGTTTCTCGTCCATCAGATTAGACTGGTTGTGGGAGGGCCCACGTTGGGCCCACAGTTGGCACTCGGCGACTGAGAGCCACAGTACTGCTCTCATGCCCAGACCAGACCGTGGGACAGGCCCCAGCACTTGCCGGTCACCTTCTCCTTTGCTGTTCGTCGCCACTCCGTGCAGGAGGCGGCGTAGCGAGGAGTGGGCGGTCAGGGCAGGCTGGGACCGGAGACCAGTTTACACTGCATTCCTTCATTTCTCCGGGTCTGCGTGGAGCGGGAGTGGGGCACGGCTGTGCGCGGTGCTGTCATAAACACGCCCTGCGGAGAGAGTGTGAGACCCGGATAGGAAGTGTTGGCGGTGGGGGATGCCTGGGTCGTGGCGAGGAGCTGTTACCCAGCCGCAGGCCCTTGACTCACGGTTTTAGAGGAGAGTGAACTTGCCCCGTCCGCACCCCAGTCCTGCCAACCCAGGCGCCCAGGGTGCCCCTCACTCGGCCCACCCCACGGGCGGCAGGCAGTGCGAGGCGGCGGCAGCAGCCTGGACAGTGGGCCAGTTTGCCTCGGCGGTTCTCTTGAGAGCTGTTGTTCTACTTAAATCCTAAAGTCTTAGCTCCTGTTATGGATTCCCTGGCTCTGGGTCGTTGCTCATAACCACCCTTAAAGTCGACACAGGATTTCTCTGTGTTTTTGTTTTCCCCAAAATTACAGTTTGAAGCGTTGGTCCCCAACAGCTGAATTTTTACCCTTGTCAAACCTTTTTGATTTTAAAAGGGGATGAGTTATCTTTTAGTTGTTAAAGACACTAGTTGTACATTATTTTTAATGTCAGGGTCTTTGTTTTGTTTCATTTTTTCCCCCTGGAGTTCTGTGGTTTCGTGCGAGCCTGTTAAGCCGGCCAGATGGGTTCTCTGGCGGCCGCTAGAGCATTTCCTTTTGACTTGCAGACACCGCGTACGCGAAGAACAAGCTGAACCGGAAGTGGTATTACTTCGACGACAGCAACGTGTCCCTGGCCTCTGAGGATCAGATAGTGGTGAGCAGGCCCTGGTGCCCGCCTTCTCCTCTCCTGCGTGGGTGGAAGCTGGGGTCTGGGGCCAGTCGGTGGCTCAGTCGTCCCGGTGCGGCGGGGAGCTGGGTGTGGCAGAGAGCCAGCTGGCTGCCGTTCCTCCTGGGACCCTTCCCGAGTGAGAAGCTTGACTCTCCTCAGGGACGGGCCGCAGGGCGCCTTCCCGGCTGCCTGTGCGTGGGTGCCCGCGGCCAGGTGGCGGGTCCCCGAGAGGCGTGGTTTGAACAGTGAGAGAGAGAGAGACTGGGAAGGATGGGTGGTGATACTCCAGTGAGTGAACTTTCCCCTCTTGTGTTTCAGACAAAAGCCGCTTACGTGCTGTTTTACCAGCGTCGAGATGACGAGTTTTATAAGCCACCTTCACTCGCCGGTTTTCCCGGGGCCTCTGACGGAGGGACGAGGCCAAGCAGCTCCCAGCAGGGCCTGGGGGACGAGGAGGCCTACAGCATGGACACCAACTGAGGCCACCTCCGTGACCTGCCACCCCCAGCACCAGTGTGGTCCCCGGGAGAACCTCTCTGACCCTCTGAAGACTACTAGTGTTTGGTCTAAAAACCAGATCAGGAAATTCCCTTCTTTTATGAGCAGAAGAAAAAAAAAAAAAAAGACCCTTGTTTGTTCAGAAGAGTTATGTCAAGAGGCTGAATTCTTTTTCTTTTTAAATAGGTGGTGAGGCATCTCTGTAAAACCTGCGGGGCTGCAGGGCGGTGGGGTGGGGCGCACACTGGCCCGCGCTGGAGGGATTCCAGAGGAGGGGAAGGCACGCCCGCCCACACTGGGACCGAGTAGGGTGCCGCCAGGGGGTCTGCTGCGGGCTGCCCTGAGTTCCCGCATTTCCCAGGAGTCTGCCCACAGTAGGCAGGGCCTCAGGTGTACTCGATGTCTGTCCCTTTCTCCCTTGCTGTGGTGGGTTGATAATTCCCTAAAAAGTAGCCACTGACCTCATTTCTGATTTCTAGCTTTCCCTAATGAACTTATTTATTGTGGGGGTCCCCTGCCCCTCCATCTGAAGTGGAACCTTACAGTTTTGGTATGCCCGGACTGCACCCCCCCCATCCCCCTTACAGCTGGATTCTGTAAGTTTTATTAGCTGCCACTTAGAATACACAAACTGCGGGTGACCATGGTCCCCCCACTACACTGCTTTGTGTTGGCTTGACGACTGCAACTTGCCGGGGAGTTTCTCGGGCTTGGAAAGAGCTTCAGTTCTTGCTGAGAAATGACGCCCCTGCACCTCCAGCCCGGGTTCTCTCGTGGGGCCCCGCCCCCAGCGCTGCGGAGGTCCGGAGGCCCGTGCTACGTACTGGCACCCCATCCCCTTCCCTCTCCTGGCCAGGCCAGAGCCCAAGTCCCTGCCTTTTCCCTCCGAGTGGGGGTGGGCGGGGTGGGTTCCCTTGCTTCCCGTGTGTGGGTGTACAGAGTTTTCAGGACCTTTTTGTCTGACCTTTTACCCTGACCCGTGGCGGTTGGGCAGGTCTCGGGCACGTGCAGTCAGTCCCACCGCGACCGTTGGCCGGGGTGGCTGGGGGTGGCCGTGTGACCGCACTGCGGGGAGAGGACCGGCAGCGGCCGGCGTGTCTTCCGTGGGAAGCCCGGTGCGCCGGGTAGGGCGGTGCTCGGCCGCGGGCAGGGGGCGGGGCGGGAGGCGGGGCCGGGTGCTGGTGCGAGCCGGGCCCACCGCGGGGGCAGAGTGGGGGGTCCCCTGGCGCTGGCCTGTGGCGGGGGTTCAGCCCGAGGAAGTCGCGGCAGGCGTCCCGTTCGGGGTGGTTTACAGCCTCACTGAAACGCCATTCTCGTGTGGCTCTACGTTTCCAAGTGTTACATAATGAAGACGTGGTCGTTTTTAGGGGACATGTCAGAAAAACTGAGAAGATGCAGAAAGGAGCTGACCGCAGCCATCGACCGGGCCTTTGAGGGCGTCAGTCGGGCCCAGCAGAGCGCGGGCCGGCAGAGGCTGGAGGCCGAGGCCGCGCCGCGCTGCTTCCCCGCCGCCGGCCGCGGGCCGCGCTGCCCCAGGCACCCGCCGCCGGCTGCCGCCTTCTCCGCCGCGGCCTTCGCCCCCGTCCCCGGCGTCCCCGGCGCTCCCGAGCCCGAGAGCCCCGCCTCCGCCCCAAACCTTGCCCCAGTGAATGTGAATGCAAAGCCACACGCTTTGTGCCCCCAGAGGAAACCTCTGACCAGCAAGGAAAACGTATTAATGCATTCCTCCATCTTGGCTCCGGAAAGACAGTTTTGGAGAGCCGCAGGAGATGGGGAGAGCTGGAGGAAGGACAGTCTAAGGTGATTCCAGCTTGATAGTTTAACAGCCGCACTGAGGGGGCCCTCGTTTCCGAAAAAACTGCTGAAGACCCTAACTGAGTCCCTAACTCTGCTCTTGCCTGCCTGTGGCAGCTGTAAGACTGCATTTGGGAAGTTGGGGACCTTTCTTCAGAATTTCAGTCTGGCCCAGAAAGCGTGTGTGTGTGTGTGTGTGTGTGTGTGTGTGTGTGTAGCTGTCCTGGCTGTGAAGCCAGTCATGGGAACTGCTTTGCAGCAGCCAAATACAGTGAATGTGCAAGAACCCGAATTTTCAAGTCACATCACTTTTTATGCCGCAGAAACAAAAATCTAAGTTCTGCTGACCTTTGCCCACACTGGGGACAGGGTGAACGCCTGCCTGGTTCTTGCCTCCGCTCCCCTCCCCCACCCCAGGGCTTCCTCGCCATCCCAGGGCCAGCGGCCCCCTGGACCTTTCCTCCGGGCAGCGCGAAACTGCTCCGCCCAGACCCCAAACAAAGCTTCTGCCCTCTTGGCTGCCGAGTGACGGAGAATGGAGAAGCCATTAAACTGGCCGTCTACATTTTTCTGTTGAACTGCAAATAATGATCCTGGTCCTCAGAGACATGATGTGTAGGCTGTGATGCATGGTCCTCTAATCGCGACAGAAACGACCATTTAAAAGCCACCAGTATATTTTTGTCCGAAAGATCACCTAACAGAGATCCCCCTCAATATTTTCTTCAAAGCGGGTCTAACTCCCCACCTTTTTCTCTTCACCCGGGGCGGGGGGGCTGCAGGAAAGACACGGAGAAAGATTCGAAGGTTGACTCGAACCTGCCCCTCAGCAGCTCTGGCCAAGAGGTCACAAAGGATCTGCTTGACATCATCGGTGAGTGCCCGTGGCCGGCGGGGCGGTCCTCTCCCCGGGAGGACAGGGCCCTCCGCAGGCCCCTGGGGCAGCGGGCGTCGCGCGAACAAGCCACTCTCCCGCCTCTCATCCGTGTTCTTGGCCGGTCTTACTCACAGCTGGCTCTGTGCAGGCAGGCAGGCCCCGGGGAGCCGATGGCCTGGTGGAGTCACTTCAGAAACGTCTAGTTACCGGGCATCCCTGGAGGCAGGGGACGGCGGCCCCAGAACTTGGTGGCTGAGCTGAGATCCAAAGCAAATGGGACGTAGGCAAAGACGGCGGTGGTGGTGGGGGGGGGGCTAGTAGTCCAGCTGTGGCGTATAACACAAGCTTGAACTGTTTGACGCTCAAAGCTCCGCTGTAACTCCACTACCCGGAGACCACTGGCGTAGTGTTGCACATCTGGTCAGACATTCTTCCTGCACACTCATCTGTGGTGAGCTAGGCGTGCCCTATTCTCAGTGACTCCCACTGCACAGTGGACGCAGCTCCTGGTTGAGGGGTGCGTAGCCCCGAGGGCTGCCTGAAGCTGTTGGTTCCACGAAGCCTCCAGGTTGTGGGCGGTGAAGGGGAGGCCCGGTGGTGGCCCTGCCAGCCCGCTCCTGTAGCGGACCAACCGAGCGTGCTCTGGCAGCCCCAGGAGGTGAACTGAAGCCGTCACCACCTCTGCTCACCACCATCCGAGGCCTTGCCAGTGTCAGGCAGCGTTTTGATTACTCTGGAATCCCATTTCTTTTTTGAAAGATTCTTTTTTTAATATATTCTTTTTAAAAAAGATTTTATTTATTTATTTTTTAGAGAGGGAAGGGAGGGAGAAAGAGAGAGAGAAACATCAACGTGCAGTTACTGGGGGCCGTGGCCCTGCAACCCAGGCATGTGCCCTGACTGGGAATCGAACCTGCAACGCTTTGGTTCGCAGCCCGCGCTCAATCCTGAATCCCATTTCTTTTTCACACCAAATCTGGTCATGCCCGTTGGCCGGGGAGTTTCCCGAGAGCCAGGACAAGCGTGCACGCCCCTGTACTCTCCCCCTCCCCCCACATCTTCCCTGGGGACCAGCAGAGCGCTGGGGCTCGGCGAATGCTGGAGCCAGCAAGGACGACGCTGGCTCTGACGGCCTGTCGCCTCGGGGCGGGCGGGCCCGGCTCTGTGTGACCGCGGCAGAGAGGCCGCCCATCTGGGGGTTTTCCCTTGTGCCTGTCGCATCTCCGAAAACCCCTCCCTGGGCTAGTAATGCTGAGTGTTCTTATTTTTAAGACAACACGAGCATCCGGACTATTGAAGAACTGGCTGGAAAACTAGAATTTGAAAATGAGCTGAACCGTGTGTGTGATCCCTGCAAAGATTTGCCCTTCACGGAGGAAGCCTGGGCCCTGCTCATGGACGAGAGCCCGCAGAAGGTCTCGGAGGCTGACCCCGGCAGCCTCAGGCAGGCCTTCGATGACCACAGCATCGTGGAGACGATTCTGGACCTGGAAGAGGACTACAACCTGATGGCCCCGTTCAAGTACCACGCTGAGTGAGGGCAGCTGGCTCGGGCTCCGGTGCTCCGCCGCCGGAGGCTGACGCGCGGTGGCTGCAGAGGCAGCCGGTCACATCTTCCAGCGCGTCGGTGGAGTCTGAGTCACCACACCCTTCCTTTTTAAAATTTTTATTTATTGATTTTGAGAGAGAGAAACACTGACTTATTGTTCCGCCTATTTATGTATTGATTGGTTGATTCTTATACGTGCCCTGACCGGGGATCGAACCCACAGCCTTGGCGTGCAGGGATGACTCTAACCAGCTGAGCCTCCTGGCCAGGCCTATCACGCCCTTCCTGACTTCCAGGTGTGGTCCTTTCTGAGCTAAAAGCCCAGTTGTGTTTTTTGTTTTTGTTTTTGATCCTCTTGCTTTGAAATGTTTCTCACTGTTCATTTTTTTCATTTAACATCTGGGTTGTTTTTTTTGGGGGGGGGTTGAGGTTCAATATACTCAGTACTCAAGGCAGGTGCGGGCTGTGGGCCTCTGCGTGTCTCTTAGTGTTCTTCCCAGTGAGCCCCTGAAAACGTACCGTGGCCACAGGCAGGGGGGCTTTGTGGCCCAGCCCACCCCAGGCCCGCTCAGCCGACGGGCGGACCTGGGCTCTGGAAGAACCTCGGCCCTTGGCCCTCGGCCGCCCTCCATGCTCCCCTCCCGTGCGCTCTTCACTCTCCACCCCCCACACACGGCTGCCTGTTCCCCGCCTGCGCCCCTGCCCTGTCTCCGGGCCCCCTTCCCTCGGTCTCCGCCCCAGTCCCCTGCCCCTGCCCAGCTCAAAGGCCTCTTTGTTGTGTCAAAGGGGCTGGTAGCACCCCCGGTCCCCTCCTGACAGCACATTCTCGTGAGGCCTCCCCGCCACACACCAGGCATCGGACACCTGGGCCCGCTGAGGGGCGGACGGGGAAAGGGCACGCACGGGGTCTGCGCGTCCACCGTTACTCCTGAGCCTCGTCCCTCCCCTGCAGCCCGGGGGCCCTGAAGGTTCCCGGGTCCACCACCCCGTCAGGGCCAGACAGGCAGGGAGTGGAGGAGGGGCCGGGCCCTGCTCTTCTGAGGTCAGCACAGCCCCAGAAGCATTGCAGGGCTGGCGCCGGGCCCCTGCCTAAAAAGAAAGGACATTATCAAACTATTTGGGCAATACTCTCAAAACCATGGCATTCCCTCGGAAACCTGGTGCCTCTCAGAAGCAGGCTCAGGTAAGGGGAAGGGGCCTGGCCCAGGCAAACCGGACAGCTGAGAAGGAAGGCCTGGTGGCCTGGGAACCCCCGCAGGACATTTTTGAAGCTCACGACCTCACAAAGGCCAGGCTCCAGAGCCAGGGACCTCCTCTCCATCAGGGGTCTGGCGACCCCTCTGGGCTCGCAGGTGGAAACCGCACACCCACTCCTTAGGGCCAGGTGCTGGCACCTGCGTGCACCCTGGGAACCGGCCCTGGCCGCTGTGGGGGTGGGCTTTCCTGGTGGCACAGCTCCCCCCGCAGAGGGCAGGACAAGGACTCGGTCCCTGCAGGGTGGCCCCCTCAGTAAACACAGCCTGTGGAGTTGGGGTCCAGTTTCCTGTCCTGAGCAGGACGACCAAGAGCACGTGAGCGGAACTGCTCAGAGCACCCTCGGCTGCCGCTCCTCCAAGAGGGGCTCTCTGGTCTGGAGGGAGACGGCAGGCCACTCGACATGCAGAGCACCAGGTCTCACACCAGGGCATTCCGAACACACTGTGTTACTGTGGAAACCCTCCCCGAGAAGGTGGGGCTTAATCCCCATCCCCCATCCTTACCCGTCCCCACCCCTCCACAGCGTGAGCTGGACTTGGTGACTTGCTCCCCTGGAATAGAGTAGGGAAGGGGCAAATGAGAGCTTTACATGGAGAAGCCTAAGCACCGAGGACGAACGCCGTCATGGTGTTCTGTGGGTGACACCCGACAGGGTGCTCTGCCTCTGTGGTGTCCTTAACCAAAACTCACACCCACGGTCTGGTCATGAGACGAATGTCAGAGCGACCCAGGTTGGAGGACGTTCTGCAGGACACCTGGCTGGCACTCGGGACTGTCGAGGTCATGAAAAGCAGGGAAAGACTCAAACTGTCACAGACCGGTGGGGACTGAGGAGACACGGCGACTAAAAGCAATGGATTGCCTCCTGGAGCAGAAAGCGGACACGAATGGAAAAACTGATGACATCTAAATAACAGTTGCAGTTTAGTTCCTGCGAACGTGTGTTTGTTTCTTCGTTTTGACAAACCTGCCCTGGTCATGCAAGGTGTCAGCATCAGGGAAGCGGGGCGAGGGATGCACAAACTCACCATCGATGCAACTCTCTGCACAGCTGGAGTCATCCCGAAATGGAACATGCGTTTAAAAAAAAAAATGCAGTTGATCCTGAGTTTGTGAAAATGTGTATGAGCGCACTTGCAGGAAATTTGTCGTGGAAGGGACAAGTCAGGCTTACTTTCCTTTTTCCCCTGTTTTTTTCTCATTTATCTGCAATGGACATATATCACTTCTGTAGAAAGAAGAAATTATAAAGTTGTTTTAACTTATATTTTTAAAGATTTTATTTATTTTTAGAGAGCAGGGAAGAGAGGGAGAAAGAGAGGGAGAGAAACATCAATGTGTGGTTGCCTCTAGTGCGCCCCCAACTGGGGACCTGGCCCACAACCCAGGCATGTGCCCTGACTGGGAATTGAACTGATGACCCTGGTGAAGCAAAGTCCGGTGCTCAATCCATTGAGCCACACCAGCCAGGGCTGCAGTTGTTTTTACAAACCTTCCTCTCTGCCCACCAGTCATGGACCTCCCTCACCAGGTACCTGCCCAGAGATGAGCTTCAAATCGTCCAGCAACCCAGGCATGGGCCGGGGCCAGCCATGGAGGCTCAGCAGGACCTGGCTAGGGAGCCCCCTTCCTGGAGGGCGGGCGTGCTGGGTCAAGCTCTAGGTGTCACTGAGCTGTGTCTTATGACTCAGTTCATGTTCCTTGAAGGGCTGGGCAGAGGGGGTGGCTGCTGGGGATGCATCTAGTTCTAACCCCAGAAGACTGAGAACAGGGTTGTTGTTTTTTCCAGGTTGGAGACGCGCGCCCTTGGGAGCAAGGGGAGCCCTGGGTGGGGGGGTGGGGTCCCTGGTAGGGCAGACAGGGATGCCTCTGTTTACATGAAAATTTGGGTTTAGCACAGGGGCAATTTGTTCTGGAGTCCTGTACAGGAGCTCTTCCTCTCTGCAGAAACACGGCTGTTCCGGAAAGCAGGTGAGCCCTGAGCACCGGCACGCCGGCCCCAGGTCGGTCAGGGTGGTCGTTTCCCTGGTGACCTCAAGTCCCCTCTCTGCATCCCGGGCTCCCTGCTGTGACCCGAGAACTTCCTGCCTCGGTCACTCGCACAGGTGCAGCGGGCAGAGGTGTGCTCACCTACCTGCACAGGGTGGGGCGGGTCTCCAGGGATCCAGCTGGAGGGGAACAGGAAACCAGAATTTATTTATTTATTTATTTATTTATTTATTTATTTATTTATTTAATCCTCGCCTGAGGACATGCTTCTTGATTTTAGAGAGGCGAAGGGAGGGAGAAAGAGAGGGAGAGAAGCATCCATGTGAGCGAGAAACATCAATGGGTTGCCCCTCGCATGTGCCCCAATCGGGGATCAAACCCACAACCTGGGCAAATGCCCTGATCAGATTTGAATCCACGACCTTTCAGTTCTCAGGACAATGCCCAACCGACTGAACCCCACTGACCAGGGCTAGAACATGTATTTTCTTAAAACCTCGTCAGGCGTGCGGGTGGCTGGGCCCAAAGACTTCTTGGGAGGACATTAACAGTCATACTTGAGAAACTAAAAGGGTTTCACGTCACTCGGTTCTCTCCCCCGCAATTCATCTCGGCAAGCCAAACAATCCCTGAATTGTTTCTGTGGAAACACCAAACTGTGATGTGGATTAGCAGAATCAAAATAGAAACTCGGCAGCTTCAAGAATAAATAAGAGCTTTGGAACCTGCTCGTCACAAGCTGCAAATTCAAGCCCCAGCACAAGGCATGTGAGAAGCTGGGCTCGTCCAGCCCAGTAAGGAGAGGGCTCCAGTCCCCCGGTGCCTCCCACCCGGTCAATGCCAAGGCCACTAGAAACCAGCTGCATGTGCAGACTGGTAGACTTCGCAACAACTTAAAGCAGGAGCCGCTCTGCAGAAGCTCACAGGAGGGCCTGGGGGCTGCAGGGGGTGGATGAGGGGCAGCTGAGGAAGAAGGGGCAGGAGAAGGGAGAGAGATGAATGAATGGCCAAGCGAAGGTCCGGCAAGGAGTGGAGAGCCCCAGCTGAGGCCTGGGAGCAGAGCGAGGATTCTTTGAAAGGACAATTCAACCATGGCCGTGGGCTGGAAACAGAGACCCGGCCCTCAGCGCAGTCCTGATTGCGTTTCACACGTGGGTCCAGACCAGAGTCTGAATTCTTGCCAGGTGAGCTCTGGGGGCACTTCTGTGTGGCTCTGTGTGACAAGGCAGGCCCGGAGGCCTCAGGGTTCCTCTGTCGACATCTCCTGCTCCCTCCCTGGGGGACGAAGGAGCCACCTCCTGGCCCACCTGCTCCGGCTCCTTGGCGCTCCCCTGGACCCTCCGTTTCCGATCTCAGAGACATATCCAAGGGGCTCAGGAGACCAGGGGAAAGGTGACAGACGACCTGGGGGCCTGTGCCCCTCGCCTTTGCATCCAGGAAAGTGGCAGCTGGGCAGCCACCCCATCCCACCCCGGGGGGAGCGGTGAGCCGTCCATGACCAGAGAAGCGGTTGAAAAGGCTTGGCAAAAGGGGCCTCGTTCAAGCCAGTCTCCCCTCCCGGACAGCCAGGCCAGGGTCTCACTGGCCCCGGAGTGGAACGTCCTGTAACCGAAGCACAAGAGTTTACTGCGGCCGGAAGGCCAGCGGAGGTGGCGGGCAGACAGGGAGGCCCCCACCCTGCCCGTAGGTCAAGGCTGTCGTCAGTGGACGACCCGAGGCTCCGGCAGCTTGCTTTCGGCCTGGAGTCTGCGGAGAACGTTCATGTTTCAGGTGCCTGCTGAATCCAGAGGGCGCCGTGTTTCCTCGGGAAGGCTGCTTGCCGACGACAGCGGGTCCCAGCCCTGGGGGGTACCCTCTGTGGCAGGCCAGCTGGAACAGGCCTGGTTTGATGCAGTTTTGGCGGAAGGTCTGGCATGGAAAATTTGTCAAAACTGCTCAACCTTGTAGGAAGGAACTATCTTTTTTGAGGGTGGAAAGTATGTTGTTTTCTGGGCGCTTGGGGGAGAGAGGGGCCCATGGGGAGCTGGCTTAGACACCTTGCAGGAGCCCTCTGATCGGGAGCCCTTCGGAGCTTCGGATTCAGGACACAAAGAAGGTGCCAGGGCTGCAAGGGCTGTCTGGGTGGTGAGCGAGCAACCCCAGCCCTCAGGGCCAAGTGTCCACGAGTGTCGGACAGTCCAGTGGGTACGGAGGGTGCGGGGACAGCCACTGGTCCGGGGTTTGCAGTCCACTCCCCACTCCTCTCGGGTGGAGCTGCATGAACGAAACGGGGAGGGAATGGGCAGTGAGCAGGGTGAGCTTCAGGTGAGGCGAGGTCAGAACAAGGCCTCCCTGTAGGTGACCTTCGATACTTGAGTGTTAAGACAATTAGGTCTGTCACTAGCTTCCATCTCGTCCTCAGCCTGTATGTGGAGTGGCTCTGGGCTCAGGCCCTGGACCTCCCACCACATCCGGCCACGTAGCCAAATCTCTATATCAGCGTCCAAAGAGCCAAAAACATTGAATGCTCCAGGGACATGTCTGGGCTGTGTCAGGTTCACTGGATCTGGCTGGAGCACAGCAGTGGGGAAAAAAAAGAAGAAGAAAAAGGGCCTTAGGAATAAAATAAGAAACAGATTATTCTTTCCTGATGATTGCCAGGCAGGATAATTCTAATTAACCCAAACTTGTTAAACAATAATTTACTGCTCAGTCTACAAAGACCCAGCTCGTGGAACACAGAGTCACTCCGATCTTTGGTTACATGACACGAAGGGAAGCACGTCTGGGGGAATACAGGGTTTCATAACTCGCTGCAGACTCGAAGGACAGAAGGTCCTGCCTCGGCATTACAAGTTGGACAGACCCTTCAATGAGAAGGCCGCAGCCATAAATACTGTCCGAGTTCTCTCAACAGCGCCTTGACTTTGAATTAAAATAATTACATTTTCAACGAGAATAATAAAAGATTTCCAGATACAGACCCCCTGGTCTGCAGGCCTCATGCTAACCACTTCACAGCCACCTGGGCCAGTCAGGGAAGAGATGGGACAGACCGTGTGGCCGGGCCCCTTCCTCCCAGGCCTCCGTAGACAAGCAGAGGCGGCCGGCAGCGGGCCGGGCGGACAGACACCCAGTGAGGCCCAGAGGGAGAGAAGAGGCCGGGCACCCTGGGCAGAGCGCACGGTGGCACTCTGTGGCCTCGGAGACGGCTGTTGCCGTTGCCGGGCTCCTAGCTCCAGGCCCCGGGGGCCCTCGGACTGGAAATGAGAGCGGGAGCGGCTTAGGCTGGCGCCTCGTGCCCCTTCCAGAGGTGAGGCAGACAAACCGAACTCTCTGGCCTTTGTGGGATACACACCCCTGAAAATAAAGAATATATAACGGTCCACTCAGAGGTTCCAATGTCACTTACTGTGTTGGCTTCAAAATGGGCAATTTCTGAAAGCCATCCATCCGTGAGAATTTTTACTTTCATACAATAAAGGAAAAGAAAAAGAAAAACCAGCTTGAAAAGGATGTTTACTCAAAATCATCTTGAGAGAAGCGTGGGGAATAAAAAGCTGGAACGCATCCTACTACTTGCTTGATTTACTGATGGGAGATCAGTTCAATAACTTAATGAAAGAAAGACGTATGCTTTTAAAAGTTTTATTTTTATTTTTAATTTTTTTACTGCAAAAGAAATACATATGTATTGCAAAATAAAAAAAGAAATAAAAAACTTCAGCAGGATATTAAGGGAACGCCGAGTCTCATCCAAGCCCACTGCTCTCCCGAACCACGCCGGGCCGGGCCGGGCGCAGCTGCCCTCCTCATGAACGTGAACCGGCGGGGACAATGGGAGGAGGGCTGGGAACGGCGAGGAAGGGAAATGGAACCCTGTGGCTTGTGAACGGCGATGCTCTGGGCATTTGTTTGGTGCCTGCTACCTCCCTGCAGCTGGCAGCTTCAACACTCTGTCTGTTCACAAGAAGACTGGCTTAGCATGTCCACGGACCAAAACTGCATATGCTCTGGCAGCAAAACTAGACGAAAATACGAAAACAAGTCCTGAGGCCTGGAAGGGTATCGGTCACGTGGAGGGAATATTTCAAAGACAAAAAGCGTCGTGTTCCAGCGCCCAGCTCCTGCGGCGCCAGTTCTCGGGAACCGGGAAGTGCTCCCTGCGGAGGCCCGCCGGCCCTCCACCAGCGCAACGCCCAGGCCCAGGCCGCCGCCCGGCTCTCACCACCACCGCCCTCATTTCAGGAAGGAAGGATGCACTTGTCCCTTGTGCCCTGTCGTGGGCAGCACCTGACTGGTACTCAGAATGCCGGACTGGCCCCTCCCTAGCAGGGCTTCCCACCCCGAGGGTCCCATGCAGGCTTGGAGGGGTTCTGCCGTCAGCAGCCTCCGTGTGCTGTGACTTGTCTCCAGCTGAGAACAACAAACCGGCTGAAGTCACTGTGAGCTGGTCAGAAGCCATCATCACTGCTGTCAAAACCCAGGTCATAGAGCACACTCTTCCCTGGCTCCTTGCACGGAGGGGTCGTGGAACTTTCGAGGTTGAGGTCACTGAACCAGCTTATCTGGTGGTCCCCCTTGGAGCTGTCAGAAAGCTGGCTGTTGTCTCGGGAAGAGTGCCCACTGAGCTGCAGGGGTGCCCCTCGGGCCGGCCCCGCTGTCCTTCTGGGGGTGAGTGCTCCTTCCAGAACAGGGCAGACTGGCTTTGTGGGGCTCCTGGGGCCACACGGATGCAGGGGCTGAGCAACGGGCGCCTGCTGCTCTGGGGCGGAACTTCGTGAGCCAGAAACTGGAGACTGGGGACCTGCGGGATTGAAAGCACAGGTTTTGCCTCGGGTACGCTCTTGCTTCCTGGCCAGGGGCCTGCCTCTGCGGGCTTTCCTGGGCTGCGGCTGCTCCTGCTGGCCTTGCCTCCCGACTTGCACCGTTCTGACTTTCTGTTCTGTCACCAGCCTCTGCTCACAGGGGTCATGTGAAACCATGTCTTTGGTCTGACGTTTTGGGCGGGCGTTCTCAATGCTGGTTACAAAGTTGTTTAAGTCCAGGGAGATCAGCTGCGAGGCTCCTAGGGAAACCAGGTTCCTGACACCAGGATCTCGGTTCTCCAAGCTTCTCTTAGTAATAAGCTGATTCTTGCAGTCAGTCTGCACAGCCTTGTCCCTGACTCGCCTGTTTCTCTTGCTGCCCCCGACAGCCAGCAGCACAGCTTCTTCTCGGAGAGCAGCCCTCTTTGCCCCTTGGCTCCAGACACCAAACTCCCCTCGCGGCCGCAGGGAGCGCGGCCTAAGACTCCTCGCAGCAGGGAGTGCCTGGGCTTGCCCCGCGGCTGGTTCCTCACAGGCAGGTTCGTCCTGCCTGGTGAAATCGAGGCTCTGGGCCAGCAGCGGTGAGGTCTGGGAAGTGCTGTCTGTCACCTGCGCGAGGCTCTGGGCCAGCGGTGGTGAGGTCTGGGAAGTGCTGTCCGTCACACGTGCGGGTGCCCGAGGCACCGAGATCAAACTCTTCAGCTCCGCTAGGACACCGGGCACATTGAGCTGGCCGAGCTGCTCACAGAGCTGCTGGAAGTCCTTACTCTGCTGGGCAACTACAACTTCAAGGTGCTTCAGGTTGGACTTCATTTCTATAAACTCTGCTTGTCTCTAGGGAAAGGCAGTGAGAAAGGAGAGAGTTACAAACAGGTCAATGCAGAATGCACAGTAAAATGTGCAAACAAACCAAAGGATGTGGGACAAGCATGGCCGCCTCTGGCGCACAGCCCTGAGGGCCCGTGTGGTGCTGGAGAACCTTGGCTGAAGCTGGACTCTACCCTGGCCCATTACCAAGGGGCCTGTGTTGCATTGGCCTCTGTTCTTGGTTGAAAATTTGCAACATCAAAGGTGTCTTTCTGGGCCTTAGTGACAAAGCCAAAAATGCACTTGAGGAAAGGGGCTGGGGCCTGTACTTACAGTGTCAAATCTCCTCTGCATCTCAAGGACAGCCTGCTCCATGCTGCCCTTGTCCTGCGCTGTTTCCAACACCAGGTCACTCTGGGCCCGCGCAGTCTCTTGCACTAAGTACAGAATGATGACAATTCACTTCTTGAAGACTATGTCTGGGCCACAGTGGCAGAGAGGGAGCAGCGAACCTGGCGTGGCCACCGAAGCCTGCCCAGCCAGCACCCAGGACTCTATCCACCCAGATGGGCCCTGGTGAGGAGAGGAAGCCACAGCAGGAGGCTTCCTGCACTGTCCCCCTCCCTCCGTCCCTGAGGACATCCTAGCCAGGGCAAACTCAGTCTCAGAACCTGCTGGGGACCCTGAAACCTGCGCCCCGATGACAGCACCCGCCTCCTTCTTGGCCTACCTTCTCGGCCCTGTCATCAGAGTGATCTTCTTAGAAAGCAGGTATGTGATCATGTCCCCCTGAAATCTTCACTGACACTTTCAGTGGCACCCCACTGGCCGTGGGACGAAGTCCCAATCTTTAAATTGGCTCTTTTCTCCCCGCAGCCCCGCCAACCCTGCCCCCAGCCTCCCCGCATCTCCGACCTGTGCTTCCTAAGCAATCTCTCCCCCCACTGGCCTCGTGCCCGCTCTCCCCTCCCTTCAACCGCCGCCCCAGGTCAGCTGTTCTGCCGCCTCCCAGTCCTTGTGCTTCCTTCTGCTCTCACCTGCTTGGAAAACACTGTTTCCTGTCTGGTTCGGGGCTCCTTCTCTCTGCTGGGGGCGCCGTGTGTGTGCGCTCCCCACCACCTCCCCCCTGCGCTTACGCACCCCCACTTGCGCGTGGGCTCTAATAGCTGGGGGAACTGAGTGCTTGCCACTCAGGACTGATATTGGACCCCCTGTTTTGCATATGGAAACTTTACAAACACATTTATTTAATATCACATTGTTGCAATTACTTATTGCCATTCTCTTGATAAACTGCTAGTCATGTGAAGATGCCCTTACATTTATTCAGAAAAAAATTTAAAATGGATTCTCAGAATGATGATGGAAAGAAGCCCTAATACTAGAATCTAAAGAATGACCAACCCGATCCGGAGCCACCAGACTGAGCTCCAGACGACAATGAACAGTAAACAGCATGCACTTAACAAATGAACATTGTAATGAAAGCTTCGACAGGGATTACAGTAACAGTAAGACGGGGCACCTGGTTTGGATAAACAAGGTTGTCAGAGATGAAGACATTTAGGATGAAACCAGAGGGGTGAAAAGGGAGCCGGCCCCTCAAAGACCGGGGAAGGCTATGCAAGCAGAGGAGACAGCAAGCACCCAAGCTCCGAGGCAGAAGGAAGGGCCTGTTGTGACGGGGAACAGACACGCCAGTGTGGTCTTGCACAAAGTCACGTTTTGTGTACTTTACCACAATAAAAACAAGACATTTTTAGAGCAAATTTCCTCCTGTTGTTTAACACAAGTTAAATTCCATGGGTCAGGCAGTTAGAAGAAGGATGTTTGCTTTTATCTCAAGTACTGGATCCCTGTCCCTAAACTCAATTAATCCAATATTTTTCCAGACATCTGTGTAGGTATTTGTAGTAAAAAGCAAACATAATTATCCTATCCTAGACGAGTTCCTAAATAGCTGTGTTTCTTAGCAACAGGGAGCATTACTAACCACAAAAGCAGAGAACGAGGAAGGCAAGCAAAGCGTTCAATCCCAGACCCAGCGCCAGAAGACATCAGTCTGTGGCCCCACATAGTCTTTCCTTCCCCCAGGAGACACGCTTTCTTTACAGGAGCCTTTGTATTAAGCTCATTACTTCCAGCATCTATCCTTTTTTATTTCTTTTAAAAAGTTTATTTCTGAAAATAACTCAAAACCCTAACAGAATAATACAATGAAGAATGATCAATTCTCTCCCATACAGACCATGGTTCTACTTCCTGGATTGAACATTATGAATAGTTTCTAGAATTCTGCATTAATACATGTGCATACCCACACATACAGCTAGTGTGTGTGTGTGTGTGTGTGTGTGTCCTCTAGGAGGGGACTCATTTCACTTCTGCTTTAGCTATAAACATCAGATATTTTTAGCTTTTTTCTTTTGTAAAAATGTCATTTTAAATCCATTTCCATATTCTGGACAACGTCTCTGCCTCCTTATGAAGATGATTTGTAAAGATTTGTCTCTGTCGTAGTGAGCTGATAAAGGCTCCACTGAGAGGAGCTCGGCCCTGATGATTTTCCACGGACAGCCAGGGCCTTTCCTCCGACTGTGTGGCTTCGTCTCCCTGCCGCGCTGAGGGCCTGAGCAAAGGCCTGCGGGCCCCGTGGACAAGAGGATGTTCCTCAGTCCCCTCTTTTTCTCGGGATACCCTTCCCAATTTTCACTGACTAGTCACCTTCCTCCTCAGGATGTGTCCTGGAGCAAACCATGTGCACGTGAGCTGTTTTCATTTAGCAATGAATGGATATTTCCACTCCAACCTGGTTTATATAGATGGGCCTCAAGCTTCTTAAGAATTATATGTGCCTTGCTTAGAACAGCCTTTCTCATTCTAAAATTATAAAACTGTTGCCTATGTTTTCTTATAGTTCTTTTTATGATTATATTAATTTATCAATTCACATGGAATTAGTCTTGATGTAATAGTTATCTATTTTCCAAAAGAGATGTTTTGTAATTTTTGATAGTGCCCCTCCTTTTCAATTTCCTAATCATATTTTTCAATAGAACTGATACCTACTAGGAGAAAGTCCTGCTCCCGACTAATTGTCTCACCAAAACCCAAGACAAAGTAGGCTGTTGATGGCCTTGGGAATTCATTTCATTACTCTGGTCCTTGGTGCCCTCAGCGAAAGAACAGGAGGAGTTAGACTGACTGGCTGTGAGCCATCCTTCTGGCTGAACAGGCAGATGGTGACTGGGCAGAGCTCTCACGACCTCATGCTGCGACGGCACCGATCCCATAACAACAGAGACGGCATTTTCACACAGTACGCGCCCCTCTCCCTGCGAGCACAGCGAGTGCATCCTGAAAGCCTGCGGAATGCACCGCCTGGGAAGTTCCGAGCCCTAGGCCAGCTGGACTGGGCCCGGCTGTATGACAGGATTTGTCCCTCTCAGTGACTGACTTCCTGCTCCAGGTCACTTGACCTACACCAAGAAAGGGAATGACTGAGGACAGGCCACTTGTGCCTATTTTCAAGAATGACCTGGCTTTCTAATTAGTGTGATGCCACCGTGTTTGTTACTGCCTGTCCCAACATGTGGCTCCCTCTCCTGAACCCTACCCTCCGACAACTAAGGAGCCATTGGGGTGAAGGAGCAGGCCCCGATTCCTACTACAAGCCAGACTCAGCCCCAGTCCTCTCTCTGCCTTGATCTGGCGTTGGGGCCTTGCGCACTCCCATTTGCTCTTCTGGACCTTAAATATCGCAGCTTTGCTGCACTCCTCGTTCTTGCACTCCACACACTTTAAATGTAGAAAGCAAAAGGAGTGCTGTCCTTGGCCATTTAGAAATGAGTTTTCCTATCATGTTATATAAAGGAAGCCTTCCTGATTTGCTTCTGCTCCCTGTATCACTTCTTCTTGTGAGGATAACAATTCTAGGTTTCCAGAACCGCTTTTCAAACAAAAGCACAGTTGCCCTGTGTGTGGGATGCCCAGGTTGGAAGCCAGCAGACAGTACAGTGCTTCTTTGCAGACATATGGGAATTAATTTCTAAGCCACGCAAAGGCATTAATTTTTGTAAATCATGAGCAATCCATCCCATGGCATTTGAATAAGTTGGCTTCGATTTGTCTAAAATAGAAGATAAACACGCAGACAAATGCAAACAAGTACAGCTGCAGCCACCATCTTGCTGTTTAGCTGTTGGTTCCAGGGAGGTGTCTGCCTAAGGGGAGCTGTGTAACAGCCCTCTTGTATTTGTTAAGGGCCAGGACCATAGCTTCAGCTAAACGTAGATCACTAGTTGGCAGAGCAGAGGACTGTACAAGCCACAGACTAACTGAAGCTGAGAAAGATGCTGTGACTCACTATAAAAAGCCCTCATTGGAACCAAAGCAGCGAGTAGAACAGTAGGTGACTGGAGTATTTCTAACTCCTAAGGGAGCAGTTTCTTTATTGCTAAGTCCTAAGGGAGCAATGCTTCTACAGAGAGCACAGCCAGCAATTCACTGGGAACGCAAGGATGCTGATTTACTGCAGGCGCGGAGAGGAGGAACCCGGCAGAGCTGCCATGGCGCCCCCGGGTGAAGGGTTAGTGGGCGCTTCGAGAAAGGCATCTAGGGACAGAGCGCTGCCACGCAGAGTGGGCCTCACTATCCAGTTTAGTGCGCGTCACATCTCTTCAGCACCAACCTTCGGGCCCAGCCTCTCGTGGGAAATGCACTATGGAACCTCTCTCCTGGCAGAGACCCGGCTGGAGTTAGAAGGTTCACATCTACTGCTCGCCAATGCCCTCTGCTGATAACCTCAGATGGAGACACTCACGTGTCCTGGCCACAGTCTCCAAAGAATCCAAAATAGACTGGCTTCTTGAACTGAGATGTTCCTCAGACTTTTCCACAGAGGTCTGCAACTGAGAAACCCAAAATTAAGAAAAAATTCACAGACTGTTGCCTTATTTTACTAACTTGGAGCATTGCCATTTAATGATTTTTTAAAAGTTGTTAATATATTGCTATTCTACATGAACTAAAGTCAATATAATTATTAAACTTCTTAAAATGCAAATTGTTCTAAGTCTTTGAAATGCAACTATACTTACCTTGTGAATGCTTTCTCGCACATGGGAAATGAAGTTGTAGAGATTCTCACTAAAGTAGGAGAGAAAAAAAATAAATCCTTGTGGAATATTGAAACAATATGTAACAGAATTGATTCCATGCACATGGCAGGCATCCACTTACTATAGCATCAAAGCAGCTGGAAAAAGGAAAATGCAGACTTTTCACGACCATTTCCAAGGCAAACCACTTCTTCTTTAAATTCACTATATATGGCCCTGGCTGGTGTGGCTCAGTGGACTGAGCGCTGGCCTGTGAACCAAAGGGTTGCTGGTTCAATTCCCAGTCAGGGCACATGCCTGGGTTGCTGGCCAGGTCCCCCCGCCCCGCATCACACATTGACGTTTCTCTCCTTTCCTTTCTCCCTCCTTTCCCCTCTCTCTAAAGATAAATAAATAACATCTTTTAAAAGATCCACTGTATATATGTCTTAAATGAGGTAAAATTTTTAGCAGTGTAAGTGGTTACTACAGTAGAACAGACAGACTTTTACAGTTATGTGCCACATAACTGCATTTTAATCAATGATGGACAACATATACAACTTCAGCCCCATAAGATTCTGATGGCGCTGAACAATTCCTATCACCTAGTGACTCCTAACTCCGGGACATGTATTAATCTAATTGGCTATTATTTTGACTGTAAGAATGAGGTAGTAGAGAGACAATTCTGGGAAGAATATTAATTTCTAATGAAAGGAACTATCACAATTATCCCTCAAATAAATATCCCACTTTTGAAAAGATTCAGATATGGATTATCATTTAAACATTTTACAGATTTTGTTTCTTTACGTAATACAAATGCAAATATCAATTTTCAGACCCCAACAGGACAATTCTTCACAAGAAATCTTCTGCGTGCTCCACCCGACCGACTTTGAAAGGAGAATTAAATAGAACCATTTGGAAATTGACAAACTATATGGTTTTTAAATGAAAGAGATTGGGACATCACCTGAAAACAATAAAAATATTCAAAATTTAAAAAGTTAACTAATTAAGGATGTTAAGAACAGAATGGTATTAAAGTAGAAAAGCAGAGAATAAGGGTATCTAGAAATCTAAAGTAGCAGAAATTAAACATGTAGAATAGTTAGAAATGTGATAGAAATACAACTAGGGATAGAAATATGGTAGAAATCGCTAAGGAAATATCATAGAAAATAGGACAAAAGACAAAGAGATGGAAAATAGTTTCTAAAAATTAGAAGATCAATGCAGGAGATACATCACACACACACACACAAAACTGAAGATACAGAAAGAAAAAGAGTAAAAATAGAGAGGAGGTTTTCAGTGGTATAATAAAAATTCCCAGAACCGAGAAGTTTATAGGTAAAAGGAACTCCCCAATGACAACATAGCACATCAAAGCACAGTCCTATCAAATTTCAAAACTCCGTGGATAACGAGAAGAATCAAGGATTAGAAAGGCATCAGACTTTTTTTGTTTAATTTCAATTTATTTGTTTTTAAAGAGAGGGGAAGGGAGGGAGAGAAACATCTATGTGTGAGAGAAACAGTGGTTGGTTGCCTCTACCAGGGGCCTAGTCCACAACCCAGGCCTGTGCACTGACAGGGAATCAAACCAGCAACTCTTTGGTCCGGGGGATGCTGCCCAACCCACTGAGCCACACCAGTCAGGGTGGCATCAGACTTTTTAAAAGCAACATATAAAGCAGTAAGGCAATGGAATGATGCTTTAGAAATGTTGAGGGAAAATGATTTATAACCTAGATTTCTATATCCTGTGTAGTTTGCCATCAAGTGTGAGAGAAGAATAAGGAATTTCAGATACACAAGTTCTCAAAAAATTGTTTAGGTGCCATGTACCTGTTGTCAGGAAGTTTCTGGAATATATGCTTCACCAAATCCAAGCAGTAAACCAAGAAAGAAGGGGACTTAATATCCAAGAAACAGAGAATCCAGCTCAGGGGACAGCTGCACCACGAACTAAGAGAGTCCGAACTCGGACTGGAACTCGGAAGGGTGCTTCCGAGAAGAAAAGAATGACACTGAAAGAATTTCTGATGTGCTTAAATAGATAACAAGAAGCTTTTCCAGTTTGGCTGCAGAATTCGGGAATAGACTTACAATTCCTACATAGAAACTAAGCAAAATAGAAAACAAAGCAATTTTAAACATTAGGAAAATGTAATCACAGTATATACAATTTTTCTGGGATATCTATAGTGGTTACACAGTGATAAGGATATAAAGATTGAAAACTGATTTAACTAAAAATGTTCATATAACTATATTGGAATGATGGATGATGAGAGTTTATGGTGTTTGGGATAGGGAGGAGGCAAAAAATAATTCTTATTCTAGGGTAAAAGTCATTCTTTTAAGCTGAAAAAACAATCAAGAAATGACAATATAAGCCATCTAACATGCCATGAGATACATGGAAGTAAGTCCTAGCATAGCTAAAAGGGTTGCAAGTTGGTTGCAAAAAGAAAAAGAATCAGAAGTGAGAAAGGACAGACATCCTATTATGCACTATAATCCTAATGTATTTTCTAAATATTATGTACATGTGATAACTTGATTAAAAAATACATAAGACTAAAAAAGTTCATCTTAAAGTAAATCTAACAGCCCTGACTAGTGTGGCTCAGTGGATTGGGGTGTTGCCCCCCAAACCAAAAGGTTCCCCATTCGATTCCCAGTCAGGGCACATGCCTGGGTTACAGGCAAGTCTAACAACGCTACATATTACTGCTCGGGAAAGCCTCTACTATATCACATCACCAGTTAGGAGTGATTCTTTATTCTCATAAACACTCTCCCTTATTAGTATATTTAGTAATAATATTCCCAACTTAAACTGTATTATACAAAATAAATACCTTAAGCATACTATTTTATATTAAAATGTTTTACATATAACTGATAGCTCCCCTTTTAACTGTTTATTACTCAGTTTCATCTTGTCTGAATTGAAATGTCAAATTCCGATTTACCCCAAACCCTTAAAAGATGCTTAAGAGACAAAGTAAAAACATTAAAAGCTTGATAAATAAACATTTCATAAAAAGCTACCATTAATTTGGAAGTCATCTTTATTACTCTTTATCAAAATAAGATGCTTAAGCCCTGGCTGGTATAGCTCAGTGGACTGAGCGCAGGCTGCGAACCAAAGTGTCGCAGGTTCGATTCCCAGCCAGGGTACACGCCTGGGTTGCAAGCTATAACCCCCAGCAACTGCACATTGATGTTTCTCTCTCTCTATCTCCCTCCCTTCCCACTCTGAAAAAAAATAAATAAAATCTTTTAAAAAAAATAAGATGCTTAAAAACTAGAGATTTCTCATCCACCCAGATATTATGTGCAGGATCATAGAAAGTTAACTATGACCTAATCTCTGCTCTAGAAAAAGTCAGCTAGGAAATTCTGTTCATTGGTAATAAAAGAAAAACACAAACACTACTTTTCAGAATAGAAGAAAATTCTGTACCACCCTGTGCTGTTTATTTTACTTCAAAAATCCATTCACTTATTCAACATTTTATTGAGCTCTTTCGTGACAAGTCCTTAGGAATGAATACCTTTGGTGATATGGAGGGGAAAAAATTCAAGTTCTTACCCCCAGGGAGCTTATGAGTATATTCTTGTTGGTATTTTTGAATGCTGTTTCAAAATCTACTCAAATTAAATGATCCTCTTTATTTTTATTTATTTTTTTTAAAAAGAGTCTTTTAAATATTTCACATTTATTCTTTTTTTTAAAGATTTAATTTATTTTTATTTTTAGAGGGAAGGGAGGGAGATAGAGAGAGAAAGAGAGAGACATCAATATGTGGTTGCTGGGGGTTATGGCCTGCAACCCAGGCATGTACCCTGGCTGGGAATCGAACCTGTGACACTTTGGTTCGCAGCCCGTGCTCAATCCACTGAGCTACGCCAGCCAGGGCATGATTCTCTTTATTTAAAAATTGTATCAAAATCAAAGCTTGTTGAATCTGATCTCCTGCTTATTGACATGCCCAATAATAACGTGTTTGTGTAAATTACAGTGCATGCAGAGCTGACAGCAACACTGCACATGGACGCAGCTCTGCCAATTGCTGGTAGTCAGCTTCTGTTCTGTCTGAGTGATCAGTACTCAAGCTGTATGTTTTTTAAAAACCATCACTTTATTGAGGTATGATTGACACATGAAAAGCTGTGCATATTTAATATATACAAGTTTGGAGATAAGTATACATCCATGAAACCATCACCACAATCTGTGCCATAAGTATCTCCATCACCTCCACGTGTTCCCTCCCACTCGCACTACCCTGTACCGTAGATCTTTAGAACTTATTCATCTTGTAGAAACTGAAAGCTTGTACCCTTTGACTAATACACATTTTTATTTACCTAAGGTAAATGCCTAGGAGTAGAACTGCACAGACATATAGTAAACTGTGTTTAATTTTATAAGAAACTGTCAAATTTTTCCAGAGTCGCTGTATCATTTTGTATTTCCATCAGCAAGAGTTCTAGTCGCTCTGTATCCTTACTCAGATGAGTTTTTGTTTGTTTTGTTTAATTTTAGCCATTCTAATAGATGTACAGTAACATCTCAATGTGATTTTAATTTGTAGTTCCAAATGGCTAATTATGTTGAGCAACTTTTCATATACTTACTTGCAATCCATATGCTTTCTTTAATAAAGGTATCTGTTCAAATCCTTTCTCACTTTTTAATTGAGTTGCTTGTTTCTTATTGTTGAGTTTTAAGAGTTCTTTATATATTTTATATACAAGCCCTTTCTTGACAATGTCGTTTACAAGAATTTTTTCCCAGTCTGTAGCTTATCTTTTCATTCTCAATGTCTGTCAGAGCAAATATTTTAAAAAAATTTTTAAATAAACAAAAATCCCATTAAACTCAAAGTTAGAACTTTCATACTTTGGATTTATTTTTGTTTCCCCAATCCACCTGCTACCACCATGCTCTCTGTTCAAGGCGTTTTGTTACAGTGGGAGAAACAGAGAGCATACTTACTCCATCTTACCCCAAACCAGAATACTTTTCAATACCATTTAAAAAAATTATTTTTCCACTTAAATGAACTTACTTCTATTGCATACAAACAATAACTCTGGCACAGTTGTCTAATTTATCTATCACATGTGTGTTCCCCTAACCAGACAGAGAACTTCAGAGCTGTCACCATTATTCTTTTCCTTGGGATCCCCAGTCTGTAGTACTGGGCCTAGCACAGTGCTTATAAAGTGAATGAATGACCAAACTTCATTATGGTGACCAACAATCATTGAAAGAACATCGTGATTTTTCTAATCTATTTGTGGTCCTTAGCTTATTTATTAGTTATGAGACTAATCCATTTTCTCAAATACTATAGATAAAAAACAATAATCTGGGTAACGGCCGTCCATTGTCTGATGTGCCCAGCATACTGCTCCAGTGGGAAACTGCTTCTTTCTGCATCCAAAAAGTGGTTCTGGTGAGGACTCCCAGTCATGCTCCTTTGCTCACCCCATAACCTCAGCAAGCCAATCAGAAGCCTTCACTGGGATTTTTCAAATTGGAACTAAAAGAAGAAACTCTCTTCCTCTGTGTTAGGAGGAAGGTCATCTCTAGTAGGAGAGTAGGGTACATATGGAGAGAGAAGCACAGAAAAGAGATGGATTCTGATGCCATTTCATTCTCTGTCTTTCCCAGACTAGTTAAGAGAGAGAGTACATCCCCCTTTTTGTCGAAGCTAGTTTGAGGTGGGTTTCTATTTGCTACCAAAAGAGTGAAACAAATGCAACCTGAATGATTAAGGCTTCTTTTGAGATGTCTTCACCTCCTTCTGTAACATGTGATCTCAAAACACAGTATGTGAATCCATTGCTTATTGGTTTGTAGCATCTCATGTTTGAACTCGTACCATGGTTCATCACTTTCCCGATTTCAAATTTACAATGGTATGCTTTCTCTCTCTTATTTTAAAATTCCTCACTCCTCCTCAGCACATTTGTCCCTTCTAAGTACTAACCAGGCCCGGCCCTGCTGAGCTTCCAAGATCAGACGAGATCGGTCATGTTCAGGGTGGTATGGCTGTAGATGATCCCAGCACATTTCTGACAAAGCATTTATTGACAGAAAGCAAGGAAGCTAACATCCTGGGTTTTATTTTTGCCAAAATTTATTAAAATTATAATTTTCTGCCTATCATATAAATCAATATCTCAAGCTTGAATTCTTTTATTTTTCTTCCTGCAAAAAGCTTTATTGTTTCCATTTGGTTCAATGTATGGGAGAGGTCTCCAGGGTTTAACAGGAGCCCAGTGGTTTCAGGCAAAAATAAAAAAGCAGGGAAATGCAGAGGGGCCCCTCAGAGGTCTCTGGGCTCCAAAGTTCCTAGTTGTGTTTGAGGGTGAGCCTTTCAAGAGCTACTCGCCCAGCCCAGCCTGGGCCCAGGCAGCCTGCTGAGGTTAGTCAGATGGTTTGCTCATCTTCTTGATGAGTTTCACCTCCCCATCCAGGAAGTGATTCTCCAGGAAGTCACAGAGCTGAGGGTTTGTGTGGGCAGAACCCAGGATATGCAGATCCAAAAAGGCCTGGTTCAGGTTTTCCATGACCGTAGCAGCTTCCATGGCATCCTGAGTTGTACCCCACTCATCGTGGGACAGCTCCTGCACTGGTTTTGCATCTTCAAGAGACGCTGAGTTCCCTCGCACTTCTCCTCGGCCCACTCGGGGAACTGGCCCATGCCCTCCAGAGCCACATCGTTGCAGGGGAAATAGAAGCCCAGAGAGAGGTAGGTGTAGGAGGCCATCAGATGCATGTTGACCAGGTAGCTGATGGCATCCTCCACCTTGGTGTAATAATTCTGATGAATTTGGGAGATCATGGTTTTTCAGGAATAAGGAGTTACGGTCAAAAAACAGTGCTGGCTGATCTTGGAGGCTGAGGATGGCTGAGGTGGTTCCAAAGGTGGTGGCTGGAAAAGAGGTTGGAGGGTGGTCGGAGACTGCAAGAAGGGGCGTCCCTGGGTCTGTTCCATGCAAACACTGTTGAAGCAAGAGGCAGATCCGGGGGACTTCTGAGGGCTCTGTCTTGAATTCTTTTTAAAGGACAGAAATTCTTCAGAGTTCTCATCATTTGTTCTCTCTATATAAATACATATATTTTTTGCCATTTTTAAAGTAATTGTTAACAGAAATTCATTTTACTACCAAAAAGAGAATGAAAAAGAAAGGAAGGAAGAAAAGGGAAGGCAGGTGGGAAAGCAGGAGGGAAAGAAATGTCAAGTGGGACTCATGTTTTAAGAAAACTTTTTGGATGTGAGGGCGATCTGGCTGCGACATCTGTCACCCCATTAATCGCCAGAGTTGATTCGGCTGATCTGGCTGGCTAGGCGGGTGTCCCCTTCCTCCCTCACCGATCCACGTGCGTCCCTCCCGAAGCTGCGTGCTCGGTCGAAGAGGACGACCTTCCCAACTAGAGGAGAGGACCAGTCTTCGGTCAAGGGCATACGAGTAGCTGCGCTCCCCTGCTAGAACCTCCAAACAAGCTCTCAAGAAAACTTTTTTCAGTTGAGAAGTATTGATCAAACAAAACACAATCCTGCCCAGGCTGGTGTGGCTCAGTGGTTGAGTGCCAGCCCATGAATCTAAGGGTTGCTGGTTCAATTCCCAGTATGGGGCACATGCCTGGGTTGCGGGCCAGGTCCCCATTGTGGGGCGTGCAAGAGGCAACCACACATTGTTGTCTCTCTCCCTCTTTCTCCCACCCTTCCCCTCTGTCTGAAAATAAATAAATAAAATCTTTAAAAAAAAATACAATCCACAGGCCCAAAGAACAAAAAAATTAAGACTGATTTATCTGAAGCACTGCAAGGGTGAGGGCAGCCTTATACCTGCAGTACCCTACCATAGCCTTGAGGGGCCTCTGAGAAACCCTAAAGTGCAAGAGCCTGGATTCCCAGGGGAAAGAAGTCTGTCAAAGAATGGGAAATGCATTTTTATCAACAGAACCAAATTCTTTAAATAGAGCATTTTGCTTTTCTAACTAAAGGAAAATAGTCATACAGCAGCAGAAACCTAATCCAGGAATTCTGGGCTCTTTCAACATTAAAGCACTAGTGGTGATGCGAAGCAATACATCCTCACTGTCACAAAATATTGCAGCTCTAATTTATCTCACATATTTGTTTTAAAAATCAATATATCACTAACAAATTAAAATGGGTATAAAATTTAAGGAATATCTGAAGAAAAACAAATAGCAACATTTCAAAGTGAGAAATCAGCCTGGACTCCGATTTAGTTCATGTTCTATGTTCTTGAGCCTGAAACAAATAATGTTATCTAATATACTAATTCCGATGATCTGAAAAGAAAACAAATTAAAGGGCAAAATTTTGGGTAGAATAAACATAATACTATTTGAATATTGCATTTCTCTAAGAAGTCCTTTATCTCCCTTTTGAGAGGCACCAAAACTGTGGCAGCCATATTCAAATCTGCCACAAGCTACATTGACAAGAAAGCAAACGAAGATTAATTACTAGATGAGCTATAAAGGCAAGATTGCTATCATGCTGAAATCAAATTATTTCACTATTGGCATTCCATTTTATGTTTCCTTCATGAAAGAGAAGCTGTCTTGTCTACTTGAAACGTTTGCATACCTGTCACATTTGTCTTTTGCTCTTTTCTTTTTCTCCTCAAACTGTTCCAAGAGGCCTTTTGATTTTCCAACAGACAAAGGAAGAGGAAATAAGCCTCCATCTTTTGTATCTTCTCCAAACAGCTGGGGTTTTGTTTGGTACTTTGTGAAAAGACTAGGTTCACTCTGTTCAATTAAAAGAAATCATTAGCTCTGGCTGGTGTAGCTCAGTGGATTGAGCGCGGGCCTGTGAACCAAAGGGTCACGGTTTGATTCCCAGTCTAGGGAACATGCCTGGGTTGCAGGCCGGGTCCCCAGCAGGAGGAGTGGGAGAGGCAACCACTCATTCATGTTTCTCTCCCTCTCTCCTTCCCTTCCCCTCTAAAAATAAATAAATAAATCTAAAAAAAAGAGAAATCATTATAGCATTTTACATATAAAAATGCCTATAACATTCACTATTTTCTATACAATGCAGAGTCACATTTAAATGCAAACCATAATACTAAATACAGCATAACATGTAGTATTTTTTATTTCATATATGCAAAAAAATTATATTAAAATAAAGCAACTGCTTTTATTAATATAATTTTTGCCTTACCAGCCTAGAGACATATAAAATGTCAGCTAAAATGGTTTAAATCAATTGCATAAATTTAAAGGCAACAGGAGACAATTTTATTTTCATCAACTATTTTATTTATGAGGTCTGTCTGGAAAAATTCCAGCCACAGTTAATATAACGAGAACAGTTAGCGTGACATCCATGTAACCTGGCAGCCAAGGATAGTGAACTGGAATGTGCATCCATGAACAAGGACGACTTTACTGTACTAGTCAGTGGGGGCAGTAGACACTGTTGAGTGAACAGTGTGTACTGTGTGGCCATCACATTCAAAATAATTGATTGAGTAGAGCAACAAATCTGCATCAAATTTTGCGTTAAGCTTGAACATTCCTCCGCAGAAACTATCTGGATGATTCAGAAGGTCGTGGCTATGAGCAACTGGTGATTGGCAGCTTCATCACAAAAATGTACCCACTCATGCACTATGTCTTATGCAGAGTTTTTTTGGTGAAACATCAAATCCCCCAGGTTACTCAGCCCCCCTACAGCCCAGATTTGGTGCCCTGCGACTTTTGGCTTTTACTAAAACTAAAATCACCTTTGAAAGGGAAAGATTTCAGACCATCACCGAAGTTCAGGAATATACGACAGGGCAGCTGATGGTGGTTGGAAGAACTATGAGCAAAATTTACACTGAAATAATCAAGGAGTACATTTACTCCTTCATATCACTGGGTACCAATTTTTGTACTGAAATACTTATCTCAGAACATACCCTACTAACTTAAAGCACTGACCTAATCTTATTCGTTAAGTTTTTATCTGATGCAGTTAAGTCTGCATATAAAGTCAAATTTAGTTCTACACCAAAATAAATAAATAAATAAATAAATTTATATAAAAACATTTCTGACTTACAGAAGAAGACATGCTGGTCTCAGAGAAAATTAAGGACTCAGGGGACTTGGTTCCTCACTCTGGCCCTTATTCATTAACTTGGGCCTCAGAATCCTCATCTCCCTCTTCAAGGAGATAGTGGAGCACAGAGTGGACTACAATCCACAGAGCACCTGAACTTTCTTGGGAAAAAAAAACTGTCCATCTAAAATAAGATTTGTTACTTTATTCCAATTTTTCTAAAGTTCTCTTTTCCTATGAAATTTTTATGAATAACAGCAGGACTAGTCTTAGAAAATATCATGCAGTACTTGGATCTCCCTAGAAGTGGCGGAGGTACTGGCACTGTCCTACATTGTTTTGGTGATATAGAAGAAACCGTAAATATAAATGTTTTCTCCATTTCGAATTACCAAGTTGAACAAGTCCCCAATAAGCACAGATCCATTTAGAAGAGTAATCCTTAGAAATGTACACTTCTAAAAAATATAATTCAACAGAATGTCTTTTTTATAGCTTATCTCCACAACAGTGAAATGTGTACAGAAAAAATGCTGGCAATCAGACTCACGTCCAGAGAATTCTTTTGTAACTGTTTTGGATCTCTCAAATGGACACCAAAGTCCAACGGTGCTGACAGGGCCTCTGAACTTTCTGGACAGAACTGGGACCCAAAGAGGAACTGAGAATCACTGAGACCGGAGTAATCAGCCTGATTATTGGTCCAGTTTGATGACTTAGTGGTACTGAAATTAAGCAAAAAATACATATATTATATATATATAGCAAATGGAAAATATCCTAAACAAATAAAATCATAATTCACAACTATTCATTTCTGAATATTCTGGGCAGTGTGCTAGCTTGTTCTGACCTCCTAGTCCCCTGAACACTGCCAGTACTACCTATAAAGAAACAAGAAAATTTTGAATGCCAGACATTTTGATTACAACAACCTGGGAACAATCAGGTGGGAATTCAAACAATAATACCATTATTCTTTGTATAATAGCACTGTTGGCTATAACAGCATTTTGGAGATCAAAGTTCATAAAATATTTTAAAAAGTTGAATCTTTTCATCACTAAGGGAATATAAAAAATAAAATAAGGTATATGCACATAATTGATGCAGTAGTCAGAAGCAATAAGCTAGATTTACATATAACCACATGAGTAAGTTTCAAAAATGTAATTTTGAGTGCAGAAAAAAGAACTGAATGAACATCAATGCATATCATTTATGTAAACTTTTAGACCTACATCATATACACCATGAGGGTGGGGCCCTCATGATGGGATTAGTGTCCTCATAAGAAGAGACACCAGAGAGCTCACCCCCCACCGCCCGCCCACCATGTGAGGACACAGCAAGAAGGTGGTTGTCTGCAAGCCAGGAAGGGACCTCTCCCAGAAACCAATCATGCTGGCATAAAGGTCTAGGACTTCCAATGTCCAGAACTGTGAGAAAATAAATTTCTATTGTTTAAGCCATCCAGGTTATGGTACTTTGTTTTGGTAGCTCAAGCAAACTAATGTAGGCCTCCTCCAGACTGAAGAATGTGATCAACTCAGATTTGTGCACAGGAGAATCCATTAACAATTGTTTTTGATGCAAGGCATTGCTCCCTTTCCCACTTTTAGTGTCTTGTCTTTGCTGGCTTTAAATACTTGCAGCTGTGGACTTCCAATTTGCTTTTCATGGTTATCTATGCCAGTCTTTGAACCTCACATATAAAGGAGCCAGTGATACTGATAATAATACAACCATATTGAACACATTGTACTAAGCCTACTGCAGAGACAGCATGTATAAGCAGGACAAGTAAAACAGTCTTCAAGTTTTTACTTGAAAGACACCTCAATTTGTGTTACTTAATGCTGTTGTGTAACCCAAGAAAACGTGCTTTAGTTAAAACACAAAAACACAAATCATTCCTTTTCCAAATGTTAAATTTAAAGTAACTAAATAGCATATAAATATATATTCTAAGCTAAAGGAAGAAAGAAACACTAACAGTTCACCACAGCAAGGAGTAATTATTTTGACTTACAGACCATTCTCTAAGATCAACTAAGGTGATGAACTGCACACATATAATATAGGTTGCATAATCATTACATTAAAAACACTGCTCTGTGAGCCTACAGAAATCATGTAGGATTTACATTTTAAAGTCATGATCTGGATTAAACAAAGATTTTTTATAGTCTGTGTCAATTTTAAGCACATTTTTTCTTTTTGAGAAATAAAAAAATGCTATAGATTTTTGCTGAATTACTAACTGTATTTATGAAGGCATTAAGGAAGAAAATAAACTATTGTATGATAAAAGCATACCAAAAGCAGTTACAAATCTCTCAAATATAAATTACTTCCGGGACACAGCCACCAAGTAGCAATGGCAGGCCTATTGCACGGCTGGTGGACACCAATGTAAGTACCTCAGTGGAGTAATCGTAGAGGGGGCAACATCTCAATGAGCCTTTTCAATAGCTAGAGGGGCTCTTAACTCCACAGTACCTACAAATTATACTACACAAGTAAACATATATCTGAACACTGTTTTGATTTTTTGAAAAAGACAAGTATGGGAGGGTGCAGCAGTGACACGCTAGGGAAAGAAATCACATGGGGTAACTCTATTACTATAAACCAATAGGAAGGGGAGCTTCTTTCTATGAAATCAATATAACTAATAAATCTTCTTAAGTATCAGAGTATGTAACTAGAAAACTTACCCAGAGCCTGAGGGAATACTGAGCATGTCTTTGATATTCCAGACATTAAAATTCATTTCTTATGATTATCTCTATTGAAAAAAAGAGGAACATTAATTTTAAAGGTTAATATAATTCTCCCCCTCAAGATCGCTTTACTGGTGACTATTTTATATGTAGATGAGGACATTTTAGTAGCTACATTTTCATCCGATTAGTGAAAATTCCCATTACCTGTGTGCCAGCAACAACTATCTTCTGCTGTTAAATTGCCTAAAAATTTCTCTCCTCCTTAATACCACCAAGGAGGGCCCAGTCACCCGACAAATGGTAAATCTGCCTCCCATCCTCTATTCTCCCATCCTTTTCTCTTGCCGCCCTAGCAATAATCTGCTTTTAGGAGAAGACCAATAACCCCACTTTTCAATGACCCTATTCTTTCAAAGCTTTAAAGGCAAGAAAAAAAGAGGGGTGGGAGGCTATAGACTAAAAGAGGTATGATGATGAAAAAGAATTGTACCCCTGAAACCTAGATAATTTTATTAACCCTTGTCACCCCAATAAATTAAAAGAAATAGGAAAAAAAGAGATTTATGAGGCACATCAACCAAATGCAATGTGTTTGGATCCTGAATTTTAAGAAAACAATCAGAGAAATTTAAACATTGACTCACTACATAATGGCAGTTTTAAAAAATGCTAAGTGTGTTAATGATATTGTAGTTATAATAAAACAGAGTCTTATCTTTTATACATACATAAGTTTTAAGTGGATAAAATAATCTGTGCTTTGCTTTAAAACAACACAGGATGAGCTGGGGTAGCTGAGCAGGGGTACAGAGTGGCCCTAGGTGGGTAATTGTGGAGGCTAGGTGACAGGGACATTGGAATTCATTTACCCACGATCTCTACTTTTACATGTTTGAAATTCCCCACAATAAAAATTTAGTAAGTGAAATACCTTGCGCTATCTGACAGCTCCCAAAGTCCTCACCTGCAGCCCAGACCCCTCCCCTGAACTCCACGCTCCTACCTTCTATTGCCGACCTGACGCTGCGGCTCGGAAGACCAGCGCGCACCTCAGACTTACCATGATCAAATCCAAGATCATCATCTTTCCCCCCAAATACTCTCCACCTACAGTTAATGGCACCTCCATCTTTCCAGTTGCTCAGGCCAAAACCCAAGAGTCCTCCTTGACTTCCTTTTCTCAAATGCAATCTGCCAGTAAATGCTATGGTAACTCCTTTAAAACACGTCCAGGATCTGACCACTCCTCATTCCTTCCACGGCAGGGTTGCCAGATAAAATATAGGATGCCCAATGAAATTGAATTTCCCACATATTTCATGGGATACACGTGTACAAAAATATGTTTACCTGAAATTAAATTTAACTGGGCGTCCTCTACTTTTACTTGCAAACCTGACAACCCTTCTCCTCCCCGACACTGTGTCAGCATAATAAGCCACGCCCCCTCCTTCCGGTGCTCTCTCAACAATCGATTCAAAATCGTCCTACCTCAACAATCACTCTCTCTCTCCCTTGCATTTTCTGCACAGTACGTCATTATTCTAATACACTGTATATTTAATTAATTTATCTCATTTTGTCTGTCTCAGCGAGCACACGCAGGCCTCCTAGAATGTCATGTGAAACTCTTTGAGAAGAGGAATTTTTGTCCGTTGTGTTCACTGCTATATCCCCAGAATCCAGAAATTGTGTCTGGCACATAATATGTGCTCAGAAAATATTTACTGTTAAATGAGGAAAAAAAAAAAAACTTGGGAATTCTAGTTAGACAATGGAGAAAAACTTTCCAGGTAGCCACGAATTTAAAAATACATGATGTGTGATCAATGATTACATTTCAGGTCCCTAAAGACTGAGTACACATTTTAACGAAGGTGAATTGAATTTCATGTGGGGTTACTGGCTCGTGTTTAGTCGGTTTTTTTGTAGCCCGAGATTGGTTTGTCTGTTGTTGTTGTTGTTGTTTTCCTCTTCCGCCCGCACCAGCAGAAACCCTTCTAGAGCCTGGATTTAGGATGCGGACGATTTCCCCGCGGGACCACGACTGGAGGCCATCACTGCTGCGTCCAGATGGCCAGCCCTGTTGCCGCCCACCTCTGCGTACGCTGAGGGCAAGAGTCGTCTCCCTACAGCGCGGGGCGTGGGGTTTCGAACACTGGGCCCCCAGCTCCACGGCTCCCCCCTCGACCAGGTCTAAGGACCCCCCAGAGCTTCCCGGGCTCGGCCCCGCGTCCACCTGTCCTCTGCGTTTCACCCGTGTTCACGCCACCAGCGCGGGTTTTAAGTGCTCGGACGGCAGAAACCCCGTCCGTCGAGCCCTCCTCCGCGGCACGAGCCGTGACGAGGCGGCCGTCTTGGCGGGGACACTAGTCACAGCTCGGTCAACGAAGACGGAGCGCGCACGCGTTCCACGTTCCCCGGGACGGGGGTCCCTGTCCCCCGGCCGCACCCCCAGGCCTGGGAGAGGAAGCGTGGAAGTCGAGGTGCGAGTGCCCTCCCAGGGCCCCTCCGCGCCCTCGCTGGGGCGCAGCAGGCTTCCCCCTCAGATCTGGGGGCGCCTCGGGCCGCACCCGGCCTCCCGCAGCCTCCTCGCTCGTCTCCGATCTCTCCAGACAGGAAGACCCCCCCCGCGGGCGCCCCCCGCGACTAAACCATCCCCCCCCGCGCCCCCCGCCCGCCCCCGGCCTCTGCAGAGGCCTCTGCAGGGATTTTCCGGAAAGGAAACCGACGACGAAACCCAGCCGGCCCCCCGGGCTCCCTGTGCACCCTGCCTTGCCGCTGGCCCTCTTCCCTGCGTGTCCCAAGCCAGACTCGGGAGTCGGGACTCGCGCGGGAGGCGTGGCCCCTGGAAACTGACGGAAGAGCCCGGGAGGCGGGGGGGGGGGGGCACGCCAGTCCAGTCTCCTCGGAGAACCAGCGCCGTCGTCCGTCACGTGGAAAGAAAGGGCGGCAAGGCTCTGCAAGGCGTGGCCCCGGGAAACAACTCGAGGTCCCCCGGAATCCCGAACCTATTTGCAAAGGCCACTCGGCTCCCACACCGCCCCCCCACCCGCCCCGGCGCGCCTGCCCAAACCCCTCCTGCCTCCACCTCTGGGAGCCGCACACAGGTCTGGACCTGAGGTAGCCCTGACCTGGCTTCAAAAATCAGTTGGCCCCGGGAAGCCGACTGAGCACGCGCGGCCCCGCCCCCAGGGCCTGCTCTAACCAATGGAGATTACGCCCCGCCCCCTGGGCCCGCCCCCGCTGCGGCATGTGACTAACGGTTTTAACGGATCTAACGGTTTTAACTGAGAGTATCAGCCAGGTGTGCTGGCCAGCGTGCGCGCGCGCACGCGCGCTCACTCGCACCCAGCGCACGTGCACCTCCTGAGATGTCCCCTCACGCCGGCTGCCCACGCACACCCCGCCGCGTCCCCTGCCAACACAGACCCGCGTGGGGGAGGGCATGAGACGCACACCTTGCTGACTGTGGGGTGGACTGGGTGCCCGGGGCCAGGGCATGGCTGGGGCCCGGGCGGTGGCCTTCGATGCCATGAAACAGGGATGGGCCGGCCACGAAGGCGTGAGGGGAGCAACACTGTGCCGAGGCCCGGGGCACTCATCGGCTGGAGGCCTGGACGAGGAGAAAGCAGCGGAGGGGCCAGGGGCCGTGTGGTCGGGGGACGGGACGGGACGGCCGCCGGGAGAGCGCGGTGCCGTGCAGGACGCGGGACAGGAGGAGTAGAATCAGCCGTGGCCCTGCAGGAGCCGTCTCGGTCCTGCACTGCGTTCGGAAACCACGTGGGGCCTTGCTCGGCGCGTCTGTGTCACTGCAGAAATGGTGTGCTCCGGGCATCTCTCTATACAGCTTGACTTGCTGACTCGCCATTTCAGAGACTGATCTCTGTGGACTCAAGTATCTGCAGCCCTTGCACAGTAAGTCCGCTATTTCGCTGTCCCTGTCGGCCATTTTCCGCACGGCCCCGTCGCTAAACATCCAGGCCGCTCACAGTTTGCCGCCCCCCCTGCCCCCCCACCGCTGGTGCAGGGAACGTTCTCGAACCTGTGAGTGGGGGGGAGGGGGCCTCCAGGGTGACGGCATTGGGCGGGGGCGGGGGTGGGGCGGACTTTCTGGCTGGCGGGGCTGAGTGTTTCCCTTGGTTGAATTTTTCATCAGCATTTTTTAAAACATATTTTATTAGCTCAGTGGATTGAGCTCGGGCTGCGGACCAAAGTGTCGCAGGTTCGATTCCCAGTCAGGGCACATGCCTGGGTTGCAGGTCATGACCCCCAGCAACCGCACATTGATGTTTCTCTCTCTCTCTCTCTTTCCCCCACCCTTCCCTCTCTAAAGATAAATAAATAAAATCTAAAAATAAAAAATAAATTAAAAAAGAATACACAATTTAAAAAAATATTTCATTTATTTTTAGAGAAGGGGCAAGGGAGGAAGAGAGGGAGAGAGACATCAGTGTGAGGTTGCTCTCACGCTCCCTACTGGGGACGGAGCCCGAAACCCAGGCGTGTGCCCCAACTGGGAATTGAACCAGCGACCCTTTGGTGCTCAGGCCGGTGCTCAGTCCCCTGAGCCGCACCAGCCGGGGCCACTGGCACTTCTTTAGTGGCTGACTGGTGGCTTCTTTTGGTTAGTGAGAGGGATGAGCAGTTCACATCTCGGTGTTACCAATGGGAGAGGGAGCAGGGGAGAGAGAGAGAGAGAATGAGAATTATCTGTCCAAGGATAGCTTGGAATGGAACCACCATGTACATACACGTTTCTCATGCTCCTCCTTTGGCTGCTCTGTTACGCCCTCCTCCCTGCAGGTCCCTGTCACCCTCGCCGGCCGTGATCAGTGTTGTCCCCAGTCGCCACGAACCCCTGAGCAGTGGGCAGGCAGAGCCTCATTCTGACGCACTAAGTTTATCCTAAGAGCCACCAGCCCCTTGAACGCTTCTTCTGGCTCCACGGAGCGCTTTCTAAATCGGTATCCCTGGCATTTTGGCTGGGCAGTTTTAAGAACGCAGGATTCACCTCTAAGTGTTCCTTAATAGTTCACTGACGGAATTCATCAGACTCCACAGTGGGGCCCTACGTGTGTCTATATATAAAGACGCTCTCAGGCTGTTAAAGTGGAGGGGCAGATTCCTCTCCGGGGGGGGGGGGGGGAGTAAAAACCGAGCAGGAAGCCCAGAGGGGCAGCAGGCGAGGCGCCGCCTCAACACCCAGCGGCATTGTGCAGTCACAGCATCCCTTTGTCACTAAGCAACAAGAAGCTGGCCTCCTGCAGTTTTCAGACAGCCTCAGAGAGACTGGAGGAAAGTTTCCCTCTTCGTGCCTTTCCCCGGAAAGATGAAGAGTGCTTTAGTAGGCTCCTGGGTAAGAGCATATCTTACGGTTAACCCTGGTGCCTGGCCCTGGGGTAGTGCCTGAGATTTGAGTGCGTCGTGAAAGTGAAGGGAGAAGGGTTTCATCCAGCACCCAGGCTAGTGGAGGACGCTGAACTACCCACTCACCTGCCACCCTGGGGTCACCCCTGGGGCTGGCTTAGTCTTCCCGGCACCATGCTCTCTTCCAGAGGTCCTGGTCTCCTGCTAACCTGCTCACCGAAACGCTGTTGAACTAAACGGAATAGGAAGTAAGGGGTGTCCAGCAGACAGTAGAAGGATGGCCAGTAAAGTTGGATGGCCCAGGCCCTCAGTGGGATGAAAAAATGTGGGGCTTCCCAGTCGTGTTTAAGATCCCACGTGACAGCCAGAGGCTGGCTGGGGACAGGCTCTTGCTGCTCAGGGATGGGACCGTGGAGGACCAGACGGACCGTCCTCTCCAGGGAGCTCTCAGGGCAAAGAGGGTGGGCCACAGTGGTTCCTTGGCCAGGCACTGTCATCCACAGGGTGTCTGCCTAATGAGGTCAGGACAGGATCGCTCCGTCTTAGACTCCCGACGCCCGCTTCTGTCGCCTGCCAGTCCCTGTCTCTGGACTTCTCTCCAGAAGCCACCCATTGTTGGAGCACTTCTCTTTCAGAAATTCGTGCCTTAGGGGCTCCGGTCTCCCAGGGTGCCCTTCTTGCCCCAGGATAGCGGGTGTGTGTCAGACAGGTGTTCATTCCTGACTTGGCTGCTCGCTCTCCAGGGTCCTTTGACCTAACATTGCGGGGGGCGTAGCAATGAAGGGAACTTTTCTCAGCTCTCCCGCGGAAGGACCGTGGCGCTGGACAGCGGCCCTGTTCTCAGAACTGCTCAGTTCCAGGAGCCACCCCTACTCAGAAGCTTCTGGTCCCCTGCCTTCCCCGGAAGAGAGTCCACAGTCCTGACCCAGTCCCTGCCTGACCTCACCGCACTTCCCCCAGCTGGTTCACAGCCCTCTAGTAACCAGGCCTCTTCTTTTGTTCTTCCGAGCTCTCTCTCTCTGTCGTTCTCTATCTCCCTCCTTTGAAATTTTGCACTTAGAGTTCCCAGCATATTAGGGCCCTTCCACTACTCCTCATGTAGCTGACTCCTTTTCCTGCTCAGGCTCCCACCCCCAGTGTCATGAGGAGCTGTTCCTGTTCCTTGTCACTCTTGATCCATTCATCAGGCTGTTTCTTCCCTGCCCCTAATCACTGTGTTTGACTCCCCCACAGAAGGAAGGTTCACGGGGGCCAAGGTCCTTCTGTCCTTTCACTGCTACCTTCCCACCCCATATTGGGATTTTAAGAAAGAGGAGGAAAAAAGGGAGGGAGGGAGGGAGGGAAGGAGGGAGGGAGGGAGGGCCTACACACACACAGCCCTCCCAGGTGAGCCAGCACAGATGGCCAGCTGTTCTAATGACGAATGGAGACACCTCTTTGCAGTCCCCAGGGGACTCCCCACCACCACCTCAGATTCTTTCTGTTTTATCAGAAACTCCCAGGAGAGGCTTCTAAGGGCCCTGAGGTCTAGCCACTGAGGTCTAAGACTTGAGGTTGGGGTTTTGGTAGCATTCATGCTCGTGCCTGCCTTATTACAGCACAACAGTGGCTTCTATGGGCACTACAGAGGCCAGTTCAAGAGTGAAAGTGCTCGAGAATACCGCCTTGCAGCCAAGCCCCAGCCTCCGGCAGTGTTCCTGAAGCGATGCCAGGTACGAGGCAGCCCTGGAGCAGCTGGGTGGCTGGGCCAGTTTCTGCTTCTCGGGCCCCAGGAGCGTCATCCGCAGCCCCGCCACACACAGCTGGACTGACACGTGGAGCCAGCCTGTCCCCAGGACGGGCAGGAGGCCTGGCCCTTCCTCCCCTGCAATGTCAGGTCTTTCTCCCACAGATGGGGCGAAGAGGGACCAATGCCAGGCTGGACAGTCTTGCTCAATCATCCTTCTAGACGGAGGAAGGGTCAGGGCCCAGGTGGGGTGAGCAGCCATGGGGAGACAGCCTCCGGAACCCAGGAAATACGCCTTGAGTGTCGCCAAAAACTGCCCTTAAGCTCAGATCCCTTGATGCAGTGAAAACCCATGGTCTAGCCCTCAGTCAGCCTCGTAGTCCAGGGGCCCCGGAGTGAGTGGGGAGGAGGCTCCTCTGGTCAAGGACGCAGTATGGAAAGCGGCTGGGCGCCCACCCACACACCTAGCCAAGGGGACTGGGAAGGGTGCTGCCAGAAAGGGCCTAGAGTGCTGGAAAAGGCTTCCCAAGAACAGGGAGGGGTGCAGGTCCCCGGCCCATCACCGCCTCCAGGCTGGAGACTAGGAGGAGGCGCTGTGCATCAGTTGGGGGCCCAGCAGGAAAAGCCCACTCAATAAAGGAGAACTCAGGAGGGTGGACATACAAAGGGTAGGTGTCGGAGCTGCAGGGGAAGGTAGCCCCACAGGTGCTAACAACCAAGTAGCCAATACGACTGGGCCCAAGGGGACAAGGGGAAGGCATGGCTTCTAGAAACTGGAAGGACAGAGTGGTGTGGAGAGGGCCACCCTGACAGGAGTGGTGATCTTGGGTGGAGAGACACAGCCAGGTGGGGGCTGGCCTGGGAAGGAGCCAGGAAAAGAAACTCCTCTTACCTCCCTCTCCTCCCAGGACTTGCCAGTGGCCAGAGGGAAGGCAGCCTGGGGAGAAGTATGGCCTTCTAGGCAGGAGTAGGCAAGGGTGGAGCCCGGAACATGCTCTGCCCACTGCAGCTTCCTGCTTCCCAGCTTTCAGCCAGGTCCTGCTCCATCTGCCATCTGCTTCTCCAGGAACTGCTTTCCCAGGCCAAGAGCAGGGGCCTGGAGGCTGGCCATCCTGCGGAGCCTGTGCTCCCAGTTGAAGGGGCTGCCCGGCACTGCCTGGCAGAGCGAGGGCCACCTCCCCTGTGAGAGTGATGGGCCTTAGCAGTGCAGGGACAGAGGCAACCCGGGGACTTCCTACTGGGTTTTGGTAGTAGCCCTCAGAGGTAGTTCTGTCCCCAAACCAGAATGTCCTCTCCACTTGTCCCCCAGGGACAGAGTAGGGGGCATGTTTTGGTTGAAGCGAAGACCTGCTACCTGCAGCCTTTACTAGCATTATCGGCGGTCCCAAACGGCATGGTTTGTGTGCATTGGGCCCAGCTGGCATAAATGCCAAGTCTCCTGGCTCCTTCTAGGTCTGAAGCTGTTTTAATTAGCGGGACTACTCAGGGGAAGTGCACATTTTATTTTCTAATTAGCTGAGAGGTACCAGGCTTCCGCAGGCTGACTGCAGCTGTAGTGGTTAAAAACCTCTCCGAGTCATGCATCCACTTTTCTTTCTTTTCAACTTGGCACATAGAGATTTTATCCACGTCATTCAGGTGCAAAAAAAATTCTTTTTTTCTTCTGAAACAGACTTATTTATTTCTAGCCTTCACCTGCTTGACTCTTGGGAAGTGTAATCCTAGTCCTGTTTGTTCTTAAGGTCACACAAGAGGACCATGGTTGTGGGCAGGTCCTTCATTGGTGGTGCCATGATTGCTGTGTCCCTGCCCCTGCCACCGCCATGCCTGAGTCAGCCACAGAGGTTGCTCTCTCCGATGACTCCACAGGGGCCCTTAGCCCCCCATATGCAAACACGGCCCCTCCCAGAAAACCTGCCCCTCCTCCAATGCTTCTTTAGCTGGAACCCCCTCCTGAACCCTGCCTGCTCAGAGACCGTGGGCTTTCCCCCCTTGGGGGAAAAGGAGCCCTGGATGGCTTAGAAACAAAGAGGTAGGTGAATTTCTCCTGGGAATTCCAGGACACTCAGAACACTCAGAACTGCCTGGGCGGAGAGGAAATGACTGCGCTTCTTACCAGGCCCCCGCAGCTGGGAGGGCACAGCTCCAGTGGGTGGGAGTCAGTGGAGCATGCTGCCACTGTAAGGGCAGTGAGCTCCGGAGTCAGAGGTGCCTCCCACAACCAAGGCGTCCACACCCTAGGGCTGTGCGTAGTCCTGTAGCTGAGCATAGAGATGGGGGAGAATCGGGTCCACTGGAACTTGCCCCAGACCCCCAGGTTCTTTCTAATATATATATATATAATTCTCACCCAAGGACATGTTTATTAATTTTAGAGAGAGAAGACGGGATGGGGAGAGAGAGACAGAGAGAGAGAAAGAACATCAGTATGAGAGAGAAGCATTGATTGATTGCCTGCTATACATGCCCCACCAGGGATCAAACTACAACCTATGTATATGCCCTGACCAGGAATCGAACCCACAGCCTTTTGGTGTATGGGATGATGCTCCAACCAACTGAGCCACCCAGCCAGGGCCCCAGGGTGATTGTATGTTTTTTTTTTTAATTTCTTTATATTGAGATGATTGTAGATTCATAAAGTTGTTAGAAATGATAGGGATTCCTTCTATACTTTGCTCAGTTTTCCCCAATGGTAATACTGTGCAAAGCTGTAGTATATCACAACCAGGGCATTGACATTAATGTAATTCATCTATCTCACTTCGATGTCCCCGGTTTTACTTGTACTTATTTGTGTGTGTATATTAAGATCTATAAATTTTTATCAGCAGTGTAGCTTTCTGTATCTGCCACTGCAGTCAAGTTACAATCTCCCAAGAATCCCTGGTGCTGCTCTTTCATGACCACAACCTCCTGCCTTCCTCTCCTCCACCCTGCCCTGTCCCTAACCCCTGGCAACCGTCACTCCCTCCATTTCTAAAATGCTGTCACTTCAAAATGTTGTATAAATGGAATGATAGGACATGTAATCATCGGGGATTGGCTTTTCTTGCTCAGCATAAGTTCTCAGAGATGTATCCGAGTTGTATGTATCAATGGTTCATTCCTTTTCGTTACTGAGTAGTAGTCTGTCCCAGCCACCAACTGGCAGTGACCAAGGAACGCTGCAGATGGCTCATTGAAACACGAGAAAAACATACACAGAGAAAACCGAGTCCTGTGGGGAAATAGGGATGAAACGGCCACTCTCTCTAGTGGGGAGTGCCATGGCCACCCTCCCCAGGGGAAGAGCGCTTCTTTCCCCTGCCTGAGCAGGCTTTTATTGGGTTCATTTGCATAAGAATTCAGGTAAAGCTCATTACTCATTGCCAGGAAGTAAGGATCAAACAATAGATAACAAGGAACTCTGAGGGCCTATTTTGAGTCAGGGTCAAAGAGCTGTAAAAACTTTAAGGAACAGACTTACTTCTTCCTTGGACCCTTATCATTCAACTGAGAGCATTCTAAACAAAGCAGGTTTCACAGGATTTTACATATCCTTTCTTAGACCTGATCACCCGGGGAACCCGCCCTTTCCACCACAGGGCTGCACCACCCTCTGTCATTGTTTCAGGCTTAGGTGAAGCAAGGGAAGTAAAACAGCCAAGAGATTAGGAGATTTTCTCGCAGACAATGACTCAGGCTATATCAAAGCCGAGGGGCGAAGGTCCATCACCCCCTTTTGCTGTAGCCCCCAAAGTCCTTCCTTAGGGGCCTCCCATGTGATTGTGCCTGTGTTAGGTCATTCTCCCCTTGGGGAATCTTACCCATCATTGGCTAACCAACCAACCATTGGGGGCCAGTTATGGATGAAGTAGAAGAAGCAGCGCTCCTGCCAGGGAGATAAGCTTTTGTCTCTTGGCTGGCTTACAGTTCCAAGGTCGTTCCCTCAGCCTTAGCCTTGGTGGGGGGGTTACAGCTTCTGATACCAGGCAGGGTGGTTCCCAACAGTAGTCTGTGGTAGGTATATTCCAGTTTGTTTAACCATTCATCTGTTAAAAACTCTCTGGGCTGATTCCAATTTTTGGATCTCACAAATAAAGCTGCTATGACCCTTTGTATACAGGCTTTGGGGTGAATGTAAGTTTTCATTTCTTTGGAATAAGTGCCCAGGAATGCCATTGCTGGGTCATAGAGTAGTTGCATGTTTAGTTTTTAAAACAAATTGCCAAACTGTTTTCCAGAGTAGCTGTGCCTTTCACATTCCCACCAGCAATGTATGAAAGATCCAGTTTCTCTGTATCCTCACCAACATTTATTGTTGTCTCTACTTTTTATTTTAGCCATCGTGCTGTGATACTGTATTGTGATTTTAATTGTCATTTCTCTAATGTTTAATGACTGAACATTTTTTCATGTGTTATTTGCCATTCGCATATCTTCTTTGGTGAAATGTCTATATGTTGCTAGCCAATTTTCTAATCAGATAGTTTGTTATTTTACTGTTAAGTTGTGAGACTTCTTTATGCATTCCTGATACTAGTCCTTCATTGAGTATGCGGTTTGCAAATATTTTCCTTCAGTTTGTAACTTGTCTTTTCAGCCTCTTCACATGGGACTTTCACAAAGCAAAAGTTTCTTTTTTCTTTTTAATTTTGATGAGGCCCCATCTATCAATTTTTAAATGGGTCTCTTTTTTTATGCATCAAGTCTAAGAACTCTGCCTAGCTTTAGATTATGAAGATTTTCCCATTTTTTTTCTAAAAGGACCCTGGATTGTTTTGTTTTGTTTTGTAATTCTCACCTGAGAATATATTTAAGTTGAGAGAAACATCGATGTGAGATAGGAACATCTATCAGCTGCTTCCCATGCACTCCCCAAACAGAGATGGAGCCCACAGCCTAGGTATGCATCCTGACGGAGGGTCAGACCCACAACCTTTATGGTGTGCAGGACAACGCTCCCACCAACCGAGCCACCCAGCCAGGACTCCCTGGGTTTTTAATCTCTGTGGTGCCAGCTTGCTTTATGAGGAATGAAAGGTAAAGCTCCTTCATGAATCTTTCCATTTGAAGACCTTCGCTGGCTGTCTGAGGCAGGAGGTCCCAGTAGGGGAGCGTGTTAAAGACACATACCTCAGGCTCCACCCTGAAGATTCTGGTTCAGCGATGGGGGTGAAGCTAGCCCCTGCCTTTTACTTACGAACCTGCTGTCAGCCATTGTGCATACCCCGACCCAGCCAAGACTTGACCTCACCAGATGGGACACTTCATTCAGCCACGCGCTGTTCTCAGAGGTGGAGCGACAGATGTGAGCGAGACAATGACATCAGACAGCATGCAGCATCCTCATATGTAGTCATAGAGTCTGTCAGAAGGCGAAAATGCAGAGTTGGGGTGACGAGACTGCTGGTGCAGGGCTGAGGGAGCGCCTCCCAAGAGGAAAGTGAGGAGGGGCCATACGGCCAGGTGGGAGGAAAATCTCCGCAGAAAGAACGGGTGCAAAGGCCGGAGGTGAGAGCAGCTGCTGTGCTTGAGGGGCAGCAAGGTGCCAGTGAGGCTGGGGGCGATGAAGGGGTCGACACTGTGTGGGTCTCATGGACCACGATGATGACCTTGGCTTTTACAAATGCGAGAAACTGCTGTGGATCTTTGGCAACCAAGGGATGTGAACTGACTCACGTATTAAAATAGTGATTCTGTCTGCTAAGAAAATAATAGACTCGGAGGAGCAAGCTTAGAAGCAGGGACACCAGGTGGGAAGCTCTTGCAATAACTCAGGCAAGAGAGGAGGGCAGGTGGCTTGGAGCAGGAGATGCTGTGGCCACGCTGAGGAGAGCTCCAGCCCTGGGTTCACATTGAAGGAAGTGCTAACAGGATTTCCTGGCACACCGGATGTAGGCAGTGAAAGAAAAAAAAATCAAGGGGTCTCTGCGGTGTTGGGCCAGAAGCAGCTGCCATGACCTATGCTGGGGGAGGCTGCAGGTGGAACGGGTTTGGGGAATGATCCAGAATGCAGTCATGTGTTTGAGGTGCCCGTTACACATTTGCAGTTGGCTACTGAGTCTGGAGTTCAGGAGAGAACTCGAGCTAGAGGGAAAACTTCCAGTTTCCAGGTGGTATTTCAGATCAAGAGCCTGGGTTGCTGAGGAGGGAGTGGGTGTGGACAAAGGGGAGGAGAGAATGGGGGAATGCAGAGAGAAAGGTGCAAATCTTGAACCACTCCCCTCCTGCTGGCAGGATACATTTTCTTTTTTTAATGTTTTAATCATTGCCCGAGGATATATGTTTACTGATTTTTAGATAGAGAGGAAGGGGGAGAGAGAGAGAGAGAGAGAGAAACTATCAGTCACTCCCATACGCGCCCTGAGCAGGGATTGAACCTGCAACCTAGGTGTGTGCCCTGACCGCCAGGGATCAAACCTGCAGTCTTCCAGTGCACAGGATGATGCTCCAACCAGATGAGCCACCTGGCCAGGGCAATGGCAGGATATTTTGAAAGATGCCTGAGCCCCTTCCTCAATCGGCAGCCCCAGAGGCTTCTGCTTTGGGGGTAAGTGCCAGGATGTGTCCCAGAAGTGAGATGTTGCTTTATTTTGTATCTGCCCCTGCAGGGTATTGGGAGTTTGGCAATTTAGGGGTGGTGGCTCCTGGAATCTTCCCTCCGTATGGGCTCTCAGGTCAGCATCACTTTCTCCCATGACCGTCTCTCTCACTCTCTTTTCAAGGAGCCCGCGAAGCAACACTTCTTCTCCAAGCATGACAACCGCACTTCCTTCGACAGGGTAAGTGTGCAGAGAGGGAGGAGCATGGGCAGGCCCCCAGCCTAGGCTGAAGTTGCAGGGGTGGGGGGTGGGGATGAGGCAGTGCAGGGAGGGCGGGCTCCTTATACACACAGAGGAGTGTCTGTCTCCCTGACAGCCTGTCCCCTCTGGGGAACAGCCCACTCCCGAACAGAGGGACCTCTGCTTTGGTTTTCTCTGCCAGCTTGCCTGACAATATGCAAATATCCCAGGGGCCCCTGGTTTTCTGAGGGCCCCACCCTGAAATGGGAGCAGGCCAAAAAGGCTGGGGTACAGGTCCGGGAGGCCAGGCACAGGCCCGGCATCACCAGGCAGGCTTGGGTTTAGGGGGCACTCAAGCAAAGCCTGTGGCCGGACCGTGGGCCAAGAGCCCATACCGTTGAAAAGGGCCCCTTCTGCCTGCTGCAGGGAGTCGGAAGGCGGAAAGACCTGAATCGCCTGTGGCAGCAACACACTTTTCTGCGCTGGGCACCCTGTGAGCTGGAGTTCCGCCAGCAGCGGCCCCTTGAATCCTCCTACCAGGCCAACTTCCGGTCCGACCCAGGACTCGGCGACCTCCCTCAGCGTCTTGTGCACTTTGTGCAGCTCAAGCCTCCCCATGTCAGCACCACCTACCAGCAGAACTTCTGCCAGCCATCCCCTGGTGACTCTAGTGGCAGCAACAACGTGGGACCCCAGGCCCCCGTCACCAACACACTGCCTAAACTCCCAGAGATCCCAAGACCCACGCTGCTGCAGCATTACCTCCATGCTGGGGTCTCCGAGTGCCTAAACTGGTCCAGAGCATTAAACAAGAATGACTGACACCAGGGCCTGTCTGTGCTTGCAGCCCCGGAGGGCCTGGAGGCTGAGAGCGGTAAGGCACTGCCAGCCCCGATGCCTGGCTCCCACGTGCCTGTGCCCATGGTACCCGTGTGCTGCGCAGACAAGGTGTGGCCCTGGGAGCCCTGCCGCCGGGTGAAAAGGGGTATGGCCTGCAGGAGTCTAAGGCACAGATGGGTTACCATGGCAACAGCAGATGGGTTCTGGGACCCCAAATCCATTCTTGCAACAAACCCAGCTGTGAGCTCCTTGCACTCAGTGTGACTGCAGGGAGAGCAGTCAGTGGCCCCTAACAGTGGGCAGTAAATTCTACAAGAGGAGGCAAGGGCTAGCAGCTTTGCTTTCTCTGGGAAGCTGCCGCCTCTAGGTGTCTGGTGCGTGGCCACACAGTCCTGTGTACGAGACCCCTTCCCTACAGCTGGGACAGAGGGAGACTGCCCAGGCCACAGCCCCCACCAGACCCCTCCGTATGGAGGTGAGCAGAGGCTTTGCAGAGATGCTGTGTGACACACCTAGAGGACATCCTGACCCTGTGGCATTTTGTTGTAGTTTTCTGATTTCTCTGGTCGTCCTGTGAGTGCCCTCTAACAACCAGGACAGTGGGGGACAGCAGTCATCCTATGTCACCAAAAGAGAAACTGAGGCTTAAGAGGGTCTGAGACACCAGATACTTTGGGGCAGAGGCCACATCTAAAAGGCTCTTCTGGACCCTTATCCTTGGAGAACTAAGACCCCCAAAGAAAGGCCAGGGGCGGCAGGGGTGACACAGGACTCCGCACCAGGGGCCATACCCAGATTTGAGCAGCGTTTTTACTTCCACGTCTGCGCTCCCTGGGTCCTCACAACAGCCCTGTGAGGTAGGTAGGGTGGGAAGGTTTCCGGGATCCCCACTGACAGCTGAGGATGCTGAGGCACAGAGAGGTGAAATGACTTTCTAGGGTCACAGCCAGCAGTGTAAAGGGCCTAAAGCCAATACTCCTGTGGCCCTCTGGAGGTTCCCACCGCGCTTTTCCATTCCCTCCATGCCGCCTGCCCTCTCTGAACTCTCCTGGGTTCACAGGGGCCTTCAAGGCAGGCTGGCAGCTGGGGTGTTTCCGGAACAGTCATTGGGGTGGGCCTGGTCAACTCTAGGTAGGCACTGACCCTGCAGGGCATGAGGCCAGCTGTCACCCCCACCACCTCCCCATTGGACAGAGGGCTCAGGAGGTTCCAGAGCAAGGGAGGAGCTAGGCGTGGTCCATGAATGAACGAGAGTACGCTGGTGTACGCATGTGTGTGTGTCCTACACTAAAGGTGAAGCCCGCACGTTACCCAGTCTCGGAGGCAGTGTCTCAAGAGCCCATGCCTGTGCATCCCTTCCCCTGTGGGGCCCAGTGCGCTTCCTCGGGAGCACAAGAAGCCAGACATCTGCCTCTGGTACTGGGCTGCTTCAGTGGGCAAGGTCCCATCAGGCATTCAGACCCCATCACACAGACACAGGGCCTCCACGGCCTGGCTGGGACCCTGCGCCACACCCCCGATGACGAACAGCCGGGGCCCAGCCTGCAGACTAGAACAGGAGCAACGGGCTGTGGGCATGGCAGGCAGTGCCTCCCAGCGCCGCCGGGCCAGGCTGAAGCCCTCCACGGAGCCCAGGGGGCATGGCTGGTTTCCTGCAGGAAGGAGACAGAAGTTGTAGCACGCAGGCTGCAGGGGTGCCAGCTGTTTTGCTCCCTGAGCCCAGAGTGCATGCAGCCCAGCAGGCGTCACCCCAGGACGGACCATCAGGGCCTTGCTACTCATTGCCCCATTCATCATTCATTCGTTCACGTATCTGTTCCTAGCTCTGTTTGTCCATTCATTCAGTGATCATTCGCCCTGTTTCTGTCTCCTAGGCCCTGCCGGCACAAATCCCTGAGTCAGGTGCTAAGGACACCCTCAGGTCTGGCCCATGGGGACCACACCCTGCTTGCTCCACAGAGTGGGAACGGGAAGCTCACAAAGCCCAAGCCCCAGAGCGCCTAGAGCAGGGTGGGAGGTGGTGCTCATGCTGGGGGCCAGTCCTTTCTGACCTGGGCTCCCCTCCCGCCCCTAGGCCCGAGGACTCACCAAGGCCCCCAACAGCCACGATGTGGCCCCCAAGGGAGCCAACCACAAAGTCAGCCCTCTTGTCCCTCATGCGCAGGCCGCGGGGCAGCTTGGTCCAGAACCCTGCAGGAGGGGGACGATGGTCAGATCTGGCCCTTGACATTGTGCCTCTCCGTCCCACGGGGAGCCGAAGGACAGCTCAGGACAGCCACTGCTCACCATGCTCCAGGTCGAACATCTCCACAGTGTTGACGAAGTGTGGGCGGGAGTAGAAATTGTGAGGCCCAGGCTGCTGCAGGCCACCCAAGCTAAAGAAGCTGCCTTCGGCCATGGCGCAGCCAGCAAATGCCCGGCGGCTGGGGAGGCTTGGGTGCCGGGTCCAGGTATGAGCCTCCAGATCAAAGGCCTCAAAAGCAGTCACTGGGAGCTTGCCCTGGCGGCCCCCTGCCAATGGAATTGAGGCAGCTGGGAGGAAGCCCGGGGCACCTGGCAGCCTCCTCCTCCCCCAGGTTGCTGAGCCTTCACCGCCACCCACTCCAGGCACCCGTACCTAGCTGTGTGCGCAGCACCAGAACGTGGATCACCCACCCCTCGGACTCTCAGGCACCGGGGTTTTGTCTTCCGGTCCCCGCGGGGCCACCAGAGGTCTGAGCCTCGGAGCGAGCCCGGCTCACCTGCAGCAAAGCTTCCCTCGTCCCGCCCTCCCGGACTCCTCCTGAGCCTGGTGGGCTCGCAGGGACAGGTGCTTCTGGACTTCGGGCCCCTTTCCCACACCCCTGGGCCCTTACCCAGGACATAGATCTTGTTCCCGTGCAGGAAAGTGGAGGCCCCATAGCAAGGCGTGGGCATAGAAGGTAGCGAAAGCCAGCAGTCCCGGCGGGGCTCGTACACCCGAACCTGGGCCTGGGGGGCCGTGTCAGAGCCCATTCCCCCCAGAGCATACACCATACCATCTGCGTAGAAAGGAGTGGTTCAGACAGTTCCTTGGCCTCTCCAGGCACCCCACCCTGAGAGCTGCCCTTGCCAGGTGTGGGGGGAGCGGGGGGGCCTGACCTGTTTTGGGTACCCTCCCTACAAGTAGCAGAAAGTACCCTCCTGCCTGCCTGGAGTGGGGGCAGGGAGAACTAGGATTCCTCCTCTGGCCGGGACCCCTACGAGTGAAGAGCAGGAGGCAGCAGATCTAATTATAATCTGTCTCCGTCTCCCTGGAGACGCTATGGCAACCAAGTCTGGCATCCAAGCAGAACCAGACCTGGTCAGACTCGGAGGCCACTAGATGGGGGCTCCCCTGGGGAAAGGGGGTTGGAGGATGGTTTAAGCCAGAGGTATAGGGCATGTGGGGGCCTATTCAGCACGGAGCTCAGACTGGGGAGGGGCTCCAGAGGTCAGCTGCGTGGCTGTGAGAGGGGCTTGGGCCTGCAAGACAGGGGCGTTGGCCACAAGCCTTCTGCCCCTGAGCCCTGCCGGCACCTCTGCAGCCCACCTTCGCACTAGAGTAGGTTCTCGCCCCGTTACACCCTCAGGGGCAGCTGGGGGCACGTCAGGAAGCCTTAAGAGACAGGCCAGTCAGCTGGGAGCTTCCCACTGGGGACTTTCCATGGCAACTGTCCCCAAGCCAGGTTGGCCTTTGTCCACCTCAGACCCCGTGTGTGTGTGTGGGGGGGCAACAATCTAAGCACCTGTTGGGCTCCAAGCCAAGGTCCTGCTTCTCTCCCTTCCCCCAGACTATAACAACCACAAGAGTCCCTGGGCCACCCCTCCTTGTCTCTGAGATGAGAGGAATGGATGGGCCGGGGAAGTGGCGGGTCCTCCCTACATGCTAGGGGCCGGCCTGGCCTCTGCCTCCCACCTCGCAGCTGGACACGGCAGTGAAGGCCTCTGCTGGCCCAGCTCAGAGCTATGGAGGGGAGGGTGCCGGAAGCAACGCCATGCCCAAGGCGTGCAGGCAAAAGCTCCAGCTTCCGCTCAGTCCCCGAGGGTAAGGGGCCAAGCGAGAGAAGAACGGAGGGTGCTGAGGCACTGCGGGCCCTCCCTCCGCAGGCCGCTCACCTCTCTCCACAGTCGCAACGCCCATGGCTGCCTGAGGCAGGGTGGCGCGACGCTCCCAGCGGCCCTCGTCGGCCAGGAAGGCCTCCACAGCGGCGACAGGGCTCTGGCCCTCATCCACACCCCCCAACACTAGCACCTGCTTGCCCAGCACCGCGGCGGCGGCGCCGGCCCGGGCAGTGGGCAGGGGTGCCAGTGTCAGCCAGGTATGTGAGGCCATGTCCAGTGTCTCAGCGGTGTCCAGGGGCAGTCCAGCCTGGCCACAGCCCCCCAGCACCAGCAGGTGTCCATCCTGGTACGCCACTGTGCCATACACCCGGCAGGTGGGCATGGGTGGGAGCGCCTGCCAAGCAAAGGCCCGGCTCCCTCCCGTGGCCATGGTGTGTGCCTCCAGGGTCAGGCCATGCTGTGGGCGCAGGCCGCGGGCCGCCCTGAGGAAAGGCTCATCCTGACTCTCCCAGGTGTACGGGGCGCGTCTGACCAGTCCAGGGAGCTTGCCTTCGCCTGAAGGAGAGAGGGGAAACAGAGGGTCAGGGCCCCTGACGGGCTCTCGGGCAGAGACGAGCAGCCTGTAGCTGAGGGCAGGGCCGGCTCCAGGTCACTGGTGGGAAAGGCAGGGGGAGGCCTCGCCCCGGCCGGCCAGCGCGCCTCCGTGGAGGCCCTCCTGGAGCGGGAGGGAGGGCGGCTCCCAGACACCCAGACAGCGCCCCCTTCCCACGTGCTGCCCTCACCTAAGGGCTGCCCGGTCCTGTCTGGGTCCAGATAGGAGGTGAGGTGACTGGGATAGGGCTCCGCACCTCCCAGCTTCCCTCCCCTCAACTGCTCTCACCCTGGTGCTCCGCAGGAGTGGAGTCCTACCGTACCTTCCCAGCACTGCTTCCATTGGGCCCTGGGCAGCCATCAGTGTCTCCCACCCGACTGCCAGGGACCAGACTCCAGTGCACATTTACACCCGCTTTGGGAGCCACTGGTTGATCTAGTCCCGCCAGCAAAAGGCCAAGATCAGGGCGTTTGGACTGGGGGCGGGGGGGGGGGGGGCTGGATGCCAGGGTCCCACATTTTCCCTTTGACGTCTACCTTCGCAGAGGTTTGCCCATGCCAGGTGCGCCTAGGCCAGCCTCTTCGGTGTCTATAATGGGTGAGGATTATTCGGGGATCCCATGAGCCCCAGACCGCAGGGTCCCAGAGTCTAGGGATCTTCCAGCAGGAATGGGCAGCTGGACTTCTTGGTCCCCTCAACGCGAATCCCCAAGTTCCCCAGCCCATTCTTTCCCGCGGGGGCCACACTCCTGGGGCCCCTAGCGCCAGGACTTCCCAGCCCCAAACTTCCCTCCAGCTCGCGGGAGGGCAGGGGGCGGGTCCAGATGAGTGAGCTTGGGGTTCTACTCCCGGCGCCCCAAACTTCCCCTGAGCGCGGTTCCCGCGGGACTCACCGGCCGGGCCTCCGGGCCGCCGGGGCGCGGGGTCCGCCGTTCCGGCTACGCTGGTGCCGGCTCTGGCTGGGGCTGAGGCCGGGTGCCGGCGGCGGGGCTCCGACTCGGCTCTGGCGCGGGGCGGGGCTGGACGGGGTCCGCCCCTCTTCCCCCCCTTCCCGACTCGGGAAAACCTCCCCTCCAACGCTCGCTTTAACTCTGCACCTGCCGTGGCTGGAGCACCGTGCGCCGACCCATGGTCGCATGCCAACGGCTGAACAGGGAGATGGACATGTGGACACCGGGCCTTCCCAGAACGGAGGGTCCGACCTGGGGTGGGAGGGAGAAATGAAACAGCAGTGAGCAGCACACACGTGTGTGGTGGGGGGCCGTTCTGAGCCGGACCCAGCTCGGGAGCATCCGCGGACGGGGGCGGCTGGGTTGAGCCAGTAGATCTCGGGGCTTTGGGCTCGGGTGCCTACCCACTGCCATTGAACTCGGAGGAGCCCAAGCACAGATTAGACGCGGCGCCCCCTGGAGGCCACTTGGGGCGTGGCCTAGGCCTCTGGTGGGTTGGATCCGAATCGCGCAGTCTCAGGCACGGAGCAGGGCACAGAGTAGGTGGGATGGTAGAGACAGAGGCTAGCAGGGGTGCGGGGAGCAGACAGTGCTGTCCTCAGTACCCGCAGGCCTGTCCCCAGGCCTGAGCTGGGGAGAATATTTGGGTTGTGGGGGACAGTGTAGGTCTGAGTAGGATATAAGCTTGAAGAGTCGGAAGCTAAGGGACCTTCCAGGCAGGCCACTCTGGTCTTATTCTGTAGGGCCTCAGGCCTGGGCTGTTCTGAGACCCAAGTCATTTTGTGACTGTCCATCTTCAGGGTACTGGCCCTGCCTCTAGCCACCCCTGGGGTCAAGCAAGAGCAAGTTGGTATGACAGAGGACTACCCACCTCAGACCCAGACTCTGACCCATCTTCTGAGCATTCCAGAGTATTGGGTAAGTCTGGGAACCAGCAGCCCACCGTACAGGTCAATGGCCACTTGTAAGAAGCGGTCCTGCGGTTGTGTGTGGTACTATCCTGTCCCTCCTTCATGGACAGTGTCTGTCTCACTTTTCCTAGAAGCATGGCTGGAGACAAAGTTGCAAGTGTATACAGCGAATGTGGGAGGTGAGGCCAGGAAGCACCAGCAGAGAGCACTGGCAAGGAGAGGGGAGGCAGCCAATAAAGGGTGTCTCGTTAAGCAAGTTACCACTGCAGGCAACTGGGACCAGATCCTGCCGGGGACTCTGGGAGCCAGTGCAGAGCATGGGCCTCACATTATCCACCCCCCACCCCCAGCAAGGGTTGCTGAGGTCCTCATTTGCAGATCTCCACCAGTCATGGGGTGACAGCTACTTGGGGCATTAATGGCCTGGTCTTCCTGACTTCTGGCCTGCCCGGAGCGTGGGTAGAGCCTTGTCCATGACCAGAAAAGGTCTTCGGCCACTTTTAGGGGCTGGCAGCTGGAGTTGGAGAACCTGCCTGGAAATGGTGGTGCCAAGGTCAGGGACAGATCCTGGCTGGAAGGCTTCCATTCTCCCACTCCACTTTTCCCCTTTAGATACCTCCCAGCGCACCCCAAGTCCCCCCACTCTCTTCTTCCTCCCTTCCAGTCAAACTCTTGAAGCCATTTATTCTCAAGGGTTCCGCTGCCTTGATAGCTGCCATCTTATGTCTGCTGCCATGGCTCCCCCAAAATTGCCCTTGCCACAGTCGCCACGGAACACCGTCTAGCTAAAACTTAGGGAGTCTTTGTCTCAACTGAAATGTTGCTGGCATCTGTAACGTTTCAACCCTGTGACTTTGACTTCCTCCTGCTGCCGTCCTGCCTCCCTCTGCGTTTTATAGGCCCTGCTTCCTATTAACTCCCCAGGAAGTGTCTCCTCAGGATCTGACCCCGGCTTTTCTCCTTGGCATACAGACTCCCTCTGGGGGTGGTCCCTCACTCACATCTACAGCTCCACCAGATCCCTCTGCCCAGATGGATAGGGTCCAGGGTCCGTCACTCAGTGCTGTAAAAGATGCCGAATGGTGAGCAAGGGCTGGATTTGGGGATGGCCCTATTGTCTCTCCCAAACTCATCCTTTCTGATCCCAGTTACACCTATAGGGTCACATCTGCCAAAGTCCAATTAAGGTCAGACTTTGCCCTGATTAGTGCTCCCAGAGGGTTCCATCTAGGACATATCGGGCACCAAGAGGCAGAATGATTAGCCTCCTCTTAGAGCTGGGTACCTCATGACCCTTACCTCTAACCCTTATGATCCCCTCTGGTTCTAATGCCTAGAAGGGACACCATCTCGGGATGGACTGACTCCACCCTCCTGCCCAGTCCTTCATTTTATACAGACCTCTGGGCTGGACATCACCAGAGAGGGGTCCCTTTTCTAGGGCACAACTAGGACTCTGCTACACCTGGAGGATGGACTCTGCCCCTCTAAGGAAATGGCTTCTGTTTATAAAATCTGGGCCCCACCTGCACACGGGGGGCCAACACTGCTGGCTTTTGAGAAGCTGTGGAACATAACTAGGGCAGAAGGTGAAGCTGGATTGGTCCTGAGAGTAAACAACTAATCCTCAACCACTGATGGGGTAGAGACAGGTCTCACCCACAGTTGAAAACTGGGAACACTAAGGTGCAACCTTCCTGAGTGCAACCCCAAGCTCAGGGGCACCAGGTGAGGCCTAGGGTAGAGTGAGTATTTCTCTTTAGGGGTGTCAAGACCCCTCTGTATGGGCAGGGAAATGTATAGCAGCAGCCTTAGGATCCTGGAACACGAAGGAGAGAAAGGAGTTGCTGTTAACTAGTCCCCAAATGAAGCATCCAGCACCCTCTCGCGCACACTGGCCTGCTGGGACTCTCAGATTGTACGTGCTCAGCTTTAGAGCTTCACAAGTTTCAGCACTAATGGCGGGGTCCTCAGTGCCTAAAGTGTAGCCAAGGTGTCCAGCAGGAAATGCAAACTCTCCTGCTCATTTGTGGTCAGTGCTTCTAGCCCTTTGTCCAGCTTTGGGTTTGCGTGTAGCGTAAGTGTGCACAGCAGCCTTTCGTGACACTTCCGGTGGGTTCCATTCTCAGGCGGAGAGGAGGGCCTACTACTGCCCACAGAGGAGGTACCAGTGCTGCAAAACGAAGAGGCTCCCCTGCAACCCTCCCAGGCTTGGGGCACTCCTCTTTTGCTCTCTGGTCGGGCGCCTGAGACCGAGGCAGGCCTTGTGAGTGCCTGCGGGAGACCCAGGGGGTTAAGGACAGCTTGGATCTTGCCAGGAGTCCCTCCCAAATGCTGCTGCAGCACCAGGCCCCTCCAAGAGGATCTCGGTCAGGCCCATAATCCATCCAGTCCTGGACGGGCTCCAGTGCAGTCCTGCCGGGGGCCACGTCCAAGAGCGCCTCTGCCCCTCAGACTCCTGCACAAGCCCGGATGAGTTTAGAACGGTCCCCGCTGCTACTTCCTCCAGGAAGCCCTCCCAGGTACCCCCACCTACCCTGCCCCCCAACTTTAGGGGAAACGGGGTCTAGGGGGTCAAGGGTCACCAGGGGCGGGCCAGGTCCCGGAAGCGGAAGCGCAGCGTACTTCCGGTGCGCAGCGGGCGGCCATGTTGGAGCAGCGGAGGCGGCGCAGAGGTGCGTCCTGGGTCCCCGCGGCGGCGCCGGTAGGTTGGGGCCGTGGGCCTAGCCGCGCCGCGGAGGGGCTGTCCGCGAGACGTTAGGGCGGACGGGCCGGGCGGCCGGCCCAGCCGAGACCCTCAACCCACCCCCACCCCGTGCCCAACGACCCCACCCTGGGGCTGCGCGGCCCGTCGGGCTGATCCAGACGCCCGGTACATCTTGCTCCCTCTTGAGACCCGCCCCGCTCCTAACCGCGGTTCGGGCCGCAGGGACTTGGATTCCCAGCCCTGAACACCCTGCCTGGGATCCGCTTGGATGGGGCCTCTCCCGTCCCCCATGGTCAACTTTCCCTGCCGGCCCCTGGGGCACGTATGAAGGGAATTGGGGGGCCGGTCTGCTGCCTGTTTCCAGAGCTTCTTGGAAAGCTCAGAAGACCCTTCCGAAGGGTTCATACCGTCTTGGGCAAAAGAGCACCCAGTTCATCCCTAGTATCCGTGCCGGTATCTGAACCCTTACCTGTTCTGCAGTTCAAAACCCGGGGAACTACACCCCCTGGAAAAATAAAATGAAATAACTGAAGCCACGTGCAAGGATTGTGCTTGGAGAATGGCCTCTGGAGAGGGGAAGTGCCGGAGACACCTGAGGATCTGAGGATGTTTCCAAACAAAGAGCCCCAGGGCACTCCCTCTAGGGGATTCTGAAAACTATCTGCTCCATTAGGATGGCAGGAAGTAGCTGCACAGACGTTCCTCTTGGCCCCAGGGGTGTGCCTGATCCCAGCTGATCTTTTAATGCTCCCGGTACAGATGGGGAGCTGCCTCTGGGCCCTCATTGCTGGGTGGGGCATTAGATGTTAGACGTGATCCACAGCCTACAGCTGCTTCAGAGAAGCCTGGGACAACTGGGGTGTTTCCAGACAGCTCCATCTGGGCGGTACCAAGGTTGGCCCTCCAAGCCCTGGTTAGAACAGCTCACATTTCTACTGTCCACCTTATGGACTGTCCTTCTTGGAGCCCTTAGATCTCATTGTTAGACCCTGAGCGCTCTTGATCTGGCTGCCTGGCCCCAAAGCTGCCTGACGGTCTAGAGCTGTGTCATTACCACCTACTGCTCATCATCTTTTTCGGTTCTGTTGAAGGAGAGTCTGGTTGGTCTCCAGGACTCTAGAGCTAGGAATTGAACCCTCAGATGGCCTATCTGGGAACTCTGAAAGCAGAACTTTTGATGGGCAGGGAGATTCACCCCTGGGCACCTGAATAGCAGCATCTTTAGGAACAGGGATGGGCATGGATATTGGGTGGAAGTCCGGACCCTTCAGCCAGCATTCAGGGAGCATTTAAAGTTTGTGTTGCTCTCCTTTCACTCATTTTTTCCAACTGGATCTTTCAGCCCTGACCACAGACTCCAGTCACGTCAGGTGTGTCTTACTCTTTCTCACTTTGGCGTCTTCGCATAGGCCGTTCCCTTTTTCCATTTCCATCTGATCCTTTCCTGTTATCACTCAGGTCCCTGCTAGGTGTTGGCTCTCCCAAGAATTCTTTCCTGACTCACTGGCAAGCTAAGCTGGGTGCCAGTGTGTGTTCCTGAGAACCTTGATGGTATCTCTTGCCTTCTGTACAGGGCCCCTTGAGGACAGAGATACTCACTTATGTGTCCGTGGTTGAGTCTAATACTAGATTTCTGGCCTCAGAGAATACAGAATTGAATTAACACGGCCTAGCCAAGCCCAGATCTTTCTAGGGACACAACAGCAGGCTGGATGACTCTGATGAGCTGGTGGGCCTCTGTTCTGGAGGAGCTGCCTTTGATCCACATGGGTCCTCTCCCCGACCTCTACCCCGCCCCCGTGGCAGGTCAGAACAGTGTTGTGCTTCAAGGAGTAGCTTGCTCTGGTCAGGCCTCTTCGTCAGTGGGTGTTACGGAGCATGCAAGACCTGCTCCCTGTCCTGGCGCCTTTCTCAATGCCATTCTCACGGACTCTTTTCCTCTTGCCTTGGAGGTGCCGAGCGCTGGTTTGCGGCTGCCCGGGCAGGTCTGCAGTACCTAATGCCATGAGCGTGGTGGTGCAGCATGTGGAGGAGAAGGCTGTACACTCTTGGTCGCGGATCTCCACGGCAGGGAAGAAGGCCCTGGAAGAGGCGCTGCTTGTCTTTAACCCCATGAGCCAGGATCTCAGTGCCACAGAGGCGCAGCTTGTGGCCTTTCTGCAGGGCCTACGGGATGATGGTTTCCAGCCCACCATCTTGCGCAGTGGCGATGTCTACGGCTACAGTTCGTGCACGGCCAAACCCCCAAGTCAGACGAAGCTGCAGGCTCGTGCCCCCACCCCAGCCACCACATCGCTTCCGGCCAGTGCTCCCCGAACTGCTATGCGGCTGCCTGCAGGCCGGGCCACGCTGCTTCCCATGCCACTGTCTGGCAGACTGGCCAAAGCATCCACACCAGCCCTTGCCAAGCACGCTACCACCAACTTGCTACTGAGCTCCCTGAAGCAGTCAAGTGCCAGCCGTGCCCGGGGTACGGCGATGGGTTTCCCCGCCCACCTCTACCCAGGTGTCTACCCTGCCATGCGGCTCTCCGTTGTCCTCGAGGCGCTGGTTCCGCTCAAGACTCCCATGCCCTGCTTGGGTACCAAGCACAAGACACAGTCCCTGCAGCTCTCTCTTGCGGACTCTTCCCTGAAGCTGCGGAAAGGTTCGGCGAAGGGGCTGGGGAACGCCCAGCCCAGAGTTCCCAGAAAAGCCACAAGCAAGGGTCCTAAGTGTCTGGTTCGCCGAGGCCCCAGGGCTGGACCCCGACAAAGCACTGGGCCTCGGAGAAAGACCTGTAAGACTACTGGATCCCTCAGTGGCCCACGAATGAAAGGTGTCTCTTCCTTGAGCATCAAAACAGCCCAGGCCAAGACAGCTAAAACACTAGCCAAAGTGGCCTGTGCACAGGCCAAGGTGGCAAAGGCCCGGGAAAAAGCTAAGGCAGCTCGTGCCAAGGCCAAGGCCAAGGCAGCACGGATCAAGGCCAAGGCCAAGGCCAAGGCAATGCGGGCCAAGGCCAAAGCCAAGGCAGTGCGGGCCAAGGCCAAGGCCAAGGAAATGCGGGCCAGGGCCAAGGCCAAGGCAACGTGGGCCAAGGTGGCTCGGACCCAGCCCAGGGGCAGGGGCAGGCCAAAAGGGTCTGTTCAGGCCAGAACTGCAAGGCCAGGCCGGAAAAGCCGCCCTGAGACTGTGGGGCAGAAGAGGAAAAGGGCCGAAGAGGCTGAAGGTCTTCCCCAGAAGAGATCACGGCTTGGGCCCCGATCCCCTAAGGCATGTCTAGGTCCTGGAACAGCAAAGCTACTGAAATTCCAGGCCATCAAGGTGGACAGGCGGTTCTCAGACGATGAGGTGCGGCTGCAGGCTCAACGCATCCTCCGTGTGAACCTGTCCCCTGTAATACGGCTACAGCCGTTGCTGCCATACTCGGTACCCTGATTCCTTCACATAGCAATGTTTCGGGAAACTGAGCCCAACTGTCTGTGTTGTCAGTGGCACAGTGTGCAATGCCCATGGACTCTGGGTGCCTCTCCAGGGCCCTGGCAGCCACCAGCCTTCTTTCAAAGACTGGAGGGTGTGGGGTTGGGGTGGGTGGGCGGGAGGGGGTGTTCTCATGGAGCAATGCACTGTGACTCGTTACTCTTCAAGTTGTATGTTCACTGTTTCATCTATCACGTTTTATACCTTTCCACTTGCCAGTCTCCTTGCCTGCTGTCCATGGTGTGTGTGTGTGTGTGTGTGTGTGTGTGTGTGTGTGTGCGCGCGCGTGCAGTAAGCCAGCGTGAGCATATAGGAAAAGGGGCCCCAGGAACAGGGCTGCCAGAGAGAGCGCTGGTAGCCTGGGGCTGGCCATCAATGCGAGGGATGGGAGGTCTGGGAAGGGGTGGGCTTCCGGGCCCCTCTGGATGTCCCACCCTCTCTAGATGTGTAAGAGGCACCTCCTGGGGCAGGGGCAGAGCCACTTAGGTGGGACACCTCCCCTTTGGGCTGCCCTGGTTTGTTATCCAGATAGGACAATGGGTGACTGTGGGGAGCCTCGCACCCTGCAGGTTTGTAGGCCAGGGAAGGGGGTGGGTGATACTGCTCCCCAGGGGCAGTGCAGACAGCCTGGCCTTGTCTGCCAGCCTGCTGTGGCCAAAGCCTTGGGGCTTTGCCTGGGCTGGTCTGCCGTAAAGTGGCTGCCGTACCTCTGCCTCTCCTCCCTTGCTCCTTCCAAAAGAGAGTCACTAGCTTAGACTTTTCCAATGAATGAGGAGTTGGGTAGAGTCAGAGGTGAGAGCCCTGGGCTGTAGGGCACAGAATCCGCCCTCACCGACCTAGAAACTTTCTCCTGGGGCGGGTGGGATGCCGTGGCAGTTGAGCCAGGAGCCTCTCCAGGTTGTGTCCATCGACAGTGCTTTCTGCTCGGGTTCCCTGTGCTCCATCGGTTCCCAAGTCCAGCCTCACGCCTCCCATCAGGGGCCTGTACGTTTCAGATACTATCAGTTCTTCCTGCTTCAGAAGAGGGGGCTGGGCTTCGAGCCCTGAACAAAACTAGCTCCCTGCCCATCTGCCAGTCTTTTGCTGGCTGCCCAGCCTGAAAGGCAGTGGCTGGGGCTGGCAGGGAGGGGGGTACATTCCCCAGAGGCCCCTGGAGACGCACAGCCTTTCAGGACTAGGGGTGGGAACCTCATTTGAATGAGAATCAGATCTTTTCTGTCTCTGGGTTAGTCTGAACCCTGGCCCCACCAGCCCTGGTTGCCGCGGACAGACGGAGGACCTGCAGAGAAGCTCTTGAGTGCTTCTTGGTGTTCCCTCCCCACCTTTCTGCATCTGGTGGCTGTTAACTAATATCCTTCCCCTGGGTGCGGATTCCCTTGGTTTTCCTGGCTCCCAGCTGCACGGTGATCCCACAGCACTGCACTGTATCTTGCCTCTGACAACCCTGCTTCCATCTGCCATGTGAGTATGGGGAAGGACCCGAGGGCCACGCTCAGCTCCTCAAGGGTGGCCCAGCCTGGGGCCCACTCTGCATCCTCTCTCGCAGGCCTGGTTCTAGCTCCCGCCGCTCAGGACCCCCAGCTAGGCTAGGCCCCCTCCTTTCGGTTCTGCTGCTGCTTCTGCCGCCACCAATGGGTGAGACGTTGGCTGTTTTCCCAAGAGCCATCCAGAGGGGGAGAAGTCTCCAAGCCTCCTGATGGGGTGAGGTGGGGTGAGGTTGGAGGGGGTGCCCTAGGATCTCCACTGAGACCCTACTCCTCCCAGTCCAGGCCCCCAGAACAGTTGCGCAGGAGGTGCCGGACAAACTCGCCCCACCCGGCTGCTCAAGTGGCAGCTGCCACCCACCCACTGGCAACCTGCTTGTGGGCCGTGCCCAGAATCTTCATGCCTCGTCCACCTGTGGCCTCCACAGCCCTGAGCCCTACTGCACTGTCAGGCACCTGCAGGTGGGGAGGAGGGTGAGGCCTCTGGCTGCAGTGTCTCTGGGTTTTCCTGGGAGGTTGGGCCCCATGGGAGTTCAGGTCGTTGCTGGGGGCTAGCGGAGAGGTCTGTGCTGTTAAGTTTTGGAGTTGGGGGCCAGTCGTGCACCTCCTGCCTAGTCCGTCTCCTTGGGCACTCTGCTAGGATGCTGAAAATTGCTTCTTTTGTGACTCTCGGGACCGGGGTGGCCATGGCATTGAGAATGTGATCTCCCGGAGTGGACCTGCTATCAACAAGACCTGGTGGCAAGCTGAGAGTGGTGAGGGTGCCGGCGTACCTCTGTGTGCGGGTTTGGGGTCTGAAGTCAGGGTCTGGTCACCGACCAGCCCTTGTGGTTACAGGTGTTGAGAACGTCACCATCCAGCTAGACCTAGAGGGTGCTTTCTACTTTACCCACCTCGTCATGACTTTTAAGGTGACCCAGCCTGAAAGCTTGCTGTGCGCCTCCTGTCCCGGTGGCCGCCGGAGATGCTTGCCCCCGGTAACCCAAGGACCCCCTACCGTCCCCAGACGTTCCGCCCGGCAGCTCTGAGCCTCGAGCGTTCGGTGGACCATGGCCGCTCCTGGCACGTGTACCGATACTTTGCCCACAACTGCTCGCACCTCTTTCCTGGGATCCCTCCCGCCCCTGGCCACAGAGTCGGTGACCTCGTCTGCGATCAGCGTTACTCGGGCACTGAGCCTCCCACTGAGGGCAAGGTCAGGCCCAGAGGAAGGGGGTTTGGGCCCTGGAGTGAAGCCAGAGGCTCAGGCTGGCTTCTTCCTCAGGTGGTTTTCCAAGTTCTGGACCCAGCCATCCAGGTGGAGAACCCAAACGACCCCAAGATTCAGGGTAATTATTCTCCCAGCCAGTCCTGGAGTCCCTGCGTATCAGAGCAGCCAGAAGCGGGGCGGGGGGGAAGCGAGGTCCTGCCTGGGTGTATGTGGCAGTGAGGCAGGGTGTTAGGTCGGCAGCTCAGTCCCCCAGCCTTGCGCCCCAGCTCTGCCCCATCGTAGTCCTTTTTGTTGGGGTCCCTGTTATGGGCCCCACTCCCATCCCAGCACTGTTCCCCATACCTGTGCCCACTGTGTGGGGACTGGCCCCGGCTGAATTCATGGGTGGGGCCCCGCTGTGGTCCCTATCACTGCTGTCCACACCAGCCCCCAAACCCGGCCCCCACGTCTCCGCTCCCATCACTGGGTCTCATAACTCTCCCCTTTGGGAGCCCCCATCGCTGCCCCTGTGGTGCCCCCTCCTCATTGCTCTCCCCCGAGATTCGTCACCCTGGCCGTAATGGGCACCCTATATCCCTGCAGCTGCCTCTAGGTGGCACCAGGGTGTCTCGGGGTGACCTTGTAAAGCAGAAGTCTTGCTAAATAAAGAACAAGAGAGACACAATCATAATCCAACAGGATGGCCCAGAGCCAGGCCAGGAGAGCACACAGCGGGAGGACAAACCCCAAACTAGCTTCTCTACACTCCACCCGCCTCGACTGTGGTTATTACCAACTACTCGCCCCGAGCTCCCACGCTAGGTCCCTGAGCAGCCATCGCCCATTGCTTTGACCAGGAGAAAGGAGAACCCTGGCAAAGGGGAGAGGGGAGGTAGCCTTGGCCAGGTAGCTAGACTTAAGCTGCGGAGCAGAAGCAGGAGCCATGGACCCATCTCTCTGCCCATGTGCACGTCCGGTGCACACCCCGCTCTGTGTCAGCCTCTCCTGAGCAGCTCTCTGCGGGGAGCAGAGAGACAAGGTCGCCGTCTTCACGACGCTGACATAAAAGTGAGAAAGGCGGTTGATGAGTAAGCAAACCAATACCCTGTGTGGTTTGGATGGCGGGCCGGGGAATGGAATCCTTCACTGCCCTGGGGAAGCAGGTTTCAGATAGCTAGAGACTCCAGAAGGGGGCGTCCAGGAGGCAGTGGGGTGTGCAGAAGTCTCAGCTGGGGAAGGGTACCAGGGCTGGAGCAGGGCAGAGGGAGTCACCACCCTTAGGCTGTGGTCATCCTCAGATGGTACTCCCCGGGGAACAGGGACGGGGAAGTCCCACAGCAGGGGTGCTGGAAGAGGTGGCTGCAATGATGCAGAGAGGGGAGAGACAGCCCCCCCCAATTCCTCGCCTGAGTTCCAGCCATAGCAGAACGGTGAGCAGCGCACCTGAGGCCCCTCACTCTGTCTCCAGAGCTCCTGCGTGTGACTAACCTCCGTGTGAACTTCTCCAGACTGCACACCCTGGGCGACAGGCCCCTGGGAGGCCTCAAGGGACACCCCTTCTACTACTATGCCCTCTATGAGCTCGTGGCCAGCGGCAGCTGCCTGTGCCACGGCCACTCCTCTGAGTGCAGGCCTGCGCCCGGGGCACCAGCCAGGGTGGAAGGCATGGTGAGCGCCGCGGGAGGGGCGTCCTGCGGCTGGTGGGGTGGGCAGGCGGGGGGACTGGGGCCGACTCGCCTCGCCCTCCTTCCTGCCAGGTGCATGGCCACTGTGTCTGCCGCCATCACACAGCGGGGGCCCACTGTGAGCGCTGCCAGGACCTGCACTGGGACCGCCCGTGGCACCCAGCGGAGCCTGGGCACCCCCATGCCTGCCAGGGTAGGTGCCACGCCCTACCCAGCCCGGCCACACTGGCCGAGGGGGAACCCAACCCCACACCCTCCCGCCTTGCTCTGCCCCAGAGTGCCAGTGCCACGGGCACGCCCGCAGCTGCCACTTTGACATGGCCCTGTATCTGGCTTCTGGCAACGTGAGCGGAGGCGTGTGTGACACGTGTCAGCACAACACAGCTGGGCGCCGCTGCGAGCTCTGCCGGCCCTTCTTCCACCGAGACCCCCAGGAAGATCCCCGTTCCCCTCGCTCCTGCAAACGTGAGCCTCCAATCCCAATTCACCCCACCGGCCGTTCCCCTCCGTGGTGACCTCTGACCTAACTCTGTCCTCACTCCGACTCTGGCCCCAGCCTGTGACTGTGACCCTGCGGGCGCGCTGGAAGGGGGGCTGTGTGACGCCCACACAGATGAGACCCGCGGCCTCCTCTCTGGGCTGTGTCGCTGCAAAGGGAACGTCTGGGGCCGACGCTGTGACGCCTGCCGGCCGGGTCACTATGGCCTGAGCCTTACCCACTCGGAGGGCTGCCAGCGTGAGTGACCCTAAGAGTGGACCCCACCCGCGTGTCCTCCCTGGTCTGCCCCCCATCCCTGCCCTGATAACACGCACCCCCACACCCCTGCAGCCGTCCCCTTAGCACCCTGAGAGCCTTGTGCCTCAGCCTGCAGGTGTGACCCCCGGGGCCGGGTCCCCGGCACTCCTGCCTGTGACCCCTCCAGCGGAGCCTGCCACTGCAAACGCTTTGTCTCTGGACGGGACTGCAGCCGTTGTCTGGTGAGTCTCGGCCTTCGTTTTGATTTGACCTTGATCTTGGGCACTGAGCTTCTGGAAGCTGACCGGAATAAGGCTAAATGCAGAATACTGCAGACCGAGCCTCGCACGTGGGGTGGTGCCATTTCCTGACCTGGTCACCATTGATGTCCCTCTCGCACATCGATGTTTCCCCCCCTCTCCTTCTCCTTCCCTTCCCCTCTCTCTAAACATAAGTAAATAAAGTCTTGAAAAGAAAATATTTTATTTACTTATGTTTAGAGAGAGGGGAAGGGAAGGAGAAAGAGAGAGAGAGAAACATCCATCAGTTGCCTCTCCCATGCCCCCAACTGGGCACCCGGCTTGTGGCCCAGGCATGTGCCCTGACCGGGAATCAAACCGGCAGTCTTTTCAGTTCGCAATCCACTGAGCCACACCAGCCAGGGCTGTGTGTCCTTATCTTCTCTCTTTTTCCCTCCGCTCCGTGAAGCCGTGCAGGAGCACACCAGAGTCCCCGCTCCCCCTCTGAGCCACAGGCAGAGGGGCATTCAGGCCCCATCCTCGGCCCCCTTCCTCCTGCAGCAGGCAGCTCCGTAAACGACTTCCCGGGCGCCTGACCCTCACCCTCACCCTCACCCTCGCCCTGTCCGGATCGAGCGAACTGTCCTTCCTCCACCCCCTCCTGTTTCTTCCAGCCCGAGTTCTGGGGGCTGAGCAGCGACTCCCTAGGCTGCAGGCCCTGCGACTGCGACTTTGGGGGTGCCTACAGCAACAGGTACAAGGCGGAGCCTGGGAGCGGGCTCGAGGGGCAAGAATTGGGTGTTGATTTTGTCCCCCCACCCCCACCCCCATGCTCACCCAGGTGTTCCGCAGCGGAGGGCGCCTGTCTGTGCCGTCCCCATCTCCGTGGCCGCCGCTGCCGTGAACTCCAGTCTGGGTACTTCTGCGCTGCCCTCGACCAGGCCACTGCTGAAGCTGAGCTTGGCCAGAGCCTCCAGCCAGCTGACCCTCGGCTGCCTGTGAGTGTCCAGGAGGGGCAGGGGCAGGAGGAAATCAAAGCCCAGACCTTGGGGCTCAGAGGAGGGAGGGAATATCTGGAGAGAGCTGGCTGGAAGGAGAGGCTGGGTTAGGAAGGTGAGGAAGTCTGGGTGGGGCCATCGGTGTGGTCAGAGGTGTGGTGTCTTGGACAGAGTCCACATTCCCAGGACAGTGTGGGAGGGGATGGGGCCAGAATGTTGGAGGACACTGATACCCCACTGGCCCCCAGGGAGCCCCCTGGCCTGCTCCTTCCCACTGCACACAAGCCCCAGGGAGCTCCCCTCGTTGGCTCCGGCCCCGACTTCGGAGACAGCGTGACCCTCGCTGTGCCCCCCACCCTGCCAGGCGAGCCCGCTACAGCCACCATCCGCCCACAGTGAGGCATCTGAGGAGCAGGGTAAAGTCACCGGTCACTAGGGTCTTAGCTGGGGCCTTAGCCCTGGGGATACGGGTCTCTGGAGTCCCGGGGGAAGGACACCTGCGTCCTGAGGGTTCTGGGTCCCAGAGGGGCCTGGGCCTGGGAGTCTGTGTGTCATGTCCAGGCCCCAGAGGAGCCTGCATCCCTGCATCCGGGAGCTGGCTCCACACCGTGGACTGGCTTAGACTTTGCACATGTGGTCGACGGGGCTGGCCTCTCTCTGCTGGCTCCCACGGTGCCTCGTGCCCTGGAGTATGACATTGTCCTGCGCTATGAGACCCAGGTCGGTGGCGTGGGTGCCAGGCAGGTGGATGGGTGGCGCTGGGTGGTGGGCAGGGGCAGTTCTGTGACGGCTGACCCCTGACCCCAGGCACCTGAAGACTGGCAGGCCTTGGTCAGGGTCCGCGCCCAGTCTCCGCCCAGCAGCACTCGCTGTGCCCGCCTGCCGCCCTCGGAGCATCTCTTCCAGGCCACCTTGACCCACGCACACAGGTGGGCAGGACACGGTGACCCCCCGACACCAAGGCCCGACTGTGCTCCCAGACATTTGACACAACACCCAGCCAAGGCGGGAAATTCCCAGTATGGACTCTCATCATGTCTAGAACAATCAAAACAGGGGCTTAATTTAAAATAGAGCGGGATTTAAGGAGCTGTTCTTTTTAAATTGGCCGGATGAAGACACATTGGACCCAATCACTAAAAACAAAAGTGGGTCACCGCCAGGACCCCTTGATCCTGACCTCCTTACCCCACCCTTTCTGCCCCCCCCCCCGCCCCCCAGAGCTGTGGTTCTATCCAGACCTTTCTGCTTTGAGCCGGGAACACGCTACTCCGTGACCCTGCGCCTGTGGCGGATCAAAGCGGCCCGGAGGCCTGCGGGAGGCACTGTCTTTCTGGATTCGGTGAGATTCTGGGGGCTCCACCCCCCCTCTGGGGGAGGCGCAAGGTACAGCAGACAATCTGGGCGCCGAAAGGACTGAGGTCGGCCAGTGGGGAGGGGAGGAAGGAGGGTCGGGAGGGGGGCGTCCCGTTCTGAGGACGGGAGGTGAGAACAGGCAGGCACCAGGCCTCTCGGGAACTTGTGGGCCAGCCGAGGGGTAGTGGGCAGCCAGGAAAGGGCTTGAGCCGAGAAGAGACGCGGGGTAAATGGACTGTCGGGGGCACGCTGCTGCCAAGATCCTGAGTGCAAGGGGGCTCCACGCGGACTAGACTGGGGCCGCTGCAGTGGAAGGAGAGACAGACTCCAAGAGAAACTGGAAAGGGGCGGGAAGGGGCTGTGAGGGCCAGCGCGAGGAAGGGCAGCGGGCAGTGGGTGTCAGTGCGCTGGGCTGTGTTCCTGCCCGCTGCCTGCCGCCTCCACCCTCCTGCCAGGTTGCACTCCTGCCGCGGGTGGAGGAGCTGCCCGGGCTGAGACCTGTGGACCCCGGGGCCGCAGGGCGCTTGCAGGAGCTCCGCCAGGCAGGCTGCGTGGAGGCAGCGAGGACGGGCCTGCCCGGCGCTGAGCCCGAGGCCTGCGCCCGCCTCGTCTGCAGCATCTCGGCCCTGCTTCACGGGGGCGGCCTCCGTGAGTGTGTGTCCCTGGGTCCTCGGGCCGCAGGAGGGGGGTCAGAGGAGGCACCTCGAGGCGCATCTGACCTTGCCCTTTCTCTTGCCAGCATGTGAGTGCCACCCCCAGGGTTCACTGAGCACTGAGTGTGCCCTGCTGGGTGGGCAGTGCCCCTGCCGTCCTAACATCGGTGGTCGTACCTGTGACCACTGTGTGCCCGGAACATACGGCTTCGGTCCCACCGGCTGCAGTGGTGAGCCTTCGGGGCCGGTGGGTGTGGGGCCTGGGACCAGCCACCTCCTTTCTCTGCACGGCTTGGTCGTCCTGTCATTCCCCACAGAGTGTGGCTGCCATTCCAAGGGTGCCACCGGTGCCATCTGTAACCCTGTGAGCGGGCAGTGTACGTGCCGGGCGGGCCTTGCTGGTCGCCGCTGTGACCGCTGCCTCCCCGACCGGTGGGGCTTCCCACGCTGCCAGCCCTGTGTCTGCAATGGGCACGCGGAGCTGTGCCACCCGCTCACAGGCGTCTGCCAGGCCTGCCGGGGAGCCACAACGGGCCGGCACTGCGAGAGGTGAGTGCCGGCCCTGGAAGCGGCGGGTGGGAGTCAGGGTGCGTGGGCCAGGCCCCATTCCCTGTGCTGCCGCCCCCAGGTGCTTGGACGGCTACTACGGAGACCCCACCCTGGGCTCAGGCCAGCAGTGCCGGCCCTGCCTCTGTCCTGGGTCCCCCGGCTCTGGCCTCTATCATGGGACTTCCTGCCACATGGACAACGCGAGCGGACGTGTCCTGTGCCTCTGTGCGCCTGGCTATGCAGGTGAGGCATGGCTGCCAGTGGCAAACCCATGGCCCTTCTCACCTGTCCACGAGGCAAGTCTTTGCCAGGGCCATCTGTGTGTCAAGCTGCAGGTCTGGCACCTCTCCTCAAGGGGTTCCCGTGGAGGGAGGGGGTCAAACGGGAGGAATTACAGACAAGGAGCTTGTAAGCCAGGAGGTGGGCCTTAATGTGACTACTGTGTCTTCGGCCCTCCGGGCTAAGCTGTGGGCTTTCTGGCTGGGTGTACGGGACCGTAGTCCTCAAGGGACCTGAGATAACTACATGTACCCTAACCCCTCCAGGGCCCCGCTGTGACCGCTGTTCCTCGGGCTACTTTGGGCGCCCTTGGCCAGAAGGGGACCCCCGAAGGAGTCCGTGCCGGCCCTGCCAGTGTAACAACAACATCGACCCCCGGGACCCCGCTGCCTGCGACCCACACAGTGGGCGCTGCCAGAGATGCCTGCACCACAGCCACGGCCCTGGCTGCGCCCACTGCAGGCCTGGCTTCCACGGCAGTGCCTTGCGCCCAGGGGGCTGCCGGCGTGAGTGTGTGGTGGGGTAGGTGGAGGCATCCCTGGGTGGTAGGTGGGCTCTCTTTCCTCCATCCTGCCAAGCCCTTCCTCTCCTCAGGCTGCAGCTGTGACCCCCGGGGCACCGTCCCTTCGAGGTGCCCATCAGGGGCTGAAGCCTGCTTCTGCAACCAGCTCAGCGGGCAGTGCCCATGCCGCCCCCACACACTGGGGTGGGACTGTAGCCGCTGCGCCCCCCTCTTCTGGAACCTAGGGGGGCCTCGGGGCTGTGAGCCCTGCAGCTGCCATGTGCACCACTCCCTGCATCCAGCGTGTCACCCAGTGAGTGAGCCCGTGTTGCACGTAGCACGTGGCTGTGGCCAGGTGTGAGTGGATGTGTGTGAGCCTGTGACAGGGTGTGACTTGTGGCTGGTGCGAGTGTTCACGGAACCACCAGCACTGGGGCACGTGTGGCCGCAAGCAGCTGTGCGAATCTGTGCGCTTGTGTGACCTTAACGGTGAGCCTGTGGACAGGCCCGGGGAGAGCGGACGTGAGCCTGCATGGGTCTGGCCCCGCGTGCAGCCCTGCATCAGTGCGTGGGCCACCCCTGTGAGTGGGCCAAGAAGAACAGCGTGCGGGGGGAGCTGGGGGCCGATACAGAGGCTGAGTGAGACTCGGGCAAAGGTCCGGGGCAGAGCTGGTGCAGTCGAGAGGGATGGCGGTGGGAAGCTCGTGTTCCCAGGAGGGTAGTGGTCAGCCACCGACGACATGAGGCCTGAAGTGTGTCCTGTGCCTTTAGGGAGGAGAGGGTGGCGGTCAGGTGAAGGAGGCAGCGGGGTAAGAGTCTGAGACAGTGGGGAGTTCGACTCGGGACACAGAGGAGCAAAGGGCAGCGGGTCAGGAGCTGAGAACCCAGAGGGTCTGGGGGAGGCGAGGCTGGCCAAGGGGGTCGGGCCAGAGGAAGCAAGGACGGAGACGCCCTTAGCCAAGGCGGGGGTGGGCGCTGCGCGCAGCAGGGGCAGGGCTGACGGGGGGGGGGGGGGGCGGAGACAGTGCGCCCGGGTGTGCCTGTGTGCGCTGTGCGCTCCAGGAATGCAGGCGCTGCCCCTGAGCCCCCGAGGCCCCTCCCTCTTCCGGTGGAGGCCCTGGGCTCTTGCTGACTGGTCTGCACTCTCTCCCCCCCAGGTCACGGGCCAGTGCCCCTGCCGGGCAGGATTCGGGGGCCGCACGTGCTCCCGGTGTCAGGATGGGTACTGGGGTGACCCGGAGCAGGAGTGCAGAGGTGAGAGGGGCACTACCACGCCCCGCCACCAGGGGCCAGGCTGCCCTGGAGGAGCCGCTCCGTGTAGAGTAGCAGGGGACAGCGGGGCTTTCCTGAGGGAGACCACAGGATGCTTATTGCTGTTTGCTCCGAAACCTCAAGAAGTGCTCACGAAGACAGCTGTAGGGCAGCAGCATTGGCCAAACCAGGGGCAGCGGGGCCACAGTGGGTGGCTCTTGGCTGACCAGCCCGCCAAGCCCTGACTGCAGTGGGCCCCTGACTGGGCTACAGGGCCCCTGCGTCTGTGCTGCCTTCCTGCCCGAAGTCTGCCGCCCAGAGGGCCTGTCTGGCCAGGGTGGTGGCAGTGCCGTGGCAGTTCTGCACAGTTGAGGGCCTGGTCGAGGGCTGGGGTGCACCCTCACACTCTCACAGGGCCATCCCCAACCCTTGGGCTTTTCCCTCCTCTTTGGGAGGTGAGGCAAAGGCAGGCGCTGCCCGCAACCTGCCCTGACCCTCTCTCTCCCCAACAGCTTGTGCCTGCGACCCACAGGGCTCCGTCTCGCCCAGCTGTGACCCGTACACAGGTGCCTGCCTCTGCAGAGAGGGCATCTCAGGGCCGAGGTGCCAGGCATGTGCCCGTGGCTCCAGAGGTGGCTTCCCACACTGCACGACTTGTCCTGCCTGTTTCACCTCCTGGGACCAACTCCTGGCTTTGCTCCGGCTGCAGCTGGAAGCTGTGGCCCAGGAGGCAGCTGCCCTACACCAGGGGACGCCTGGCTGGGGCGTCAGGGGCCGGGGTGGGCGCCAGCAGGCCCTGGAGGCAGTCCTGCAGCAGGCACAGACGCTCCTGGAGTCTCCTTCACCCACTGTGGGGATCGCACAGCAACTTACAGAGTGGATAGCTGGACTCAGGCAAGGGGCCTGGGGTCCGCGGGGAAGAGGCCTTCAGCTAGGTTCCCAGGGCCAGGGGTTCAGAGGGCCCCAGGTTGGCCTGTCTGCGTCCTGGATCTGGGTTTGCTTAAGTGGGGAATCGTGGAGGAGAGACATCTCCAGCCGTGCTGACGCGCCATCTCCCCACAGGAGGGCAATGACCGAACTGGCCCAGATGCTGTGGGCTCCAGGACAGGTCGTGGCAGAAAGCGAGTCCTGGGTTAGGGAAGAGTGTGAACGTCTGGAAGAATTATCCCGGGAGCTAGACTCTCTCAAGGGCTTGGCCTGGCCCAAGAGGGCCATAGGAGTCCAAGGTGAGGCCAGATGGGCAGGCGGGTGGACTGGTAGATGTGGGCAGGGGCTGGGCTCAGTCAGGAGGAAGGGACCAGGTGCCATTGCTTACACGTATGGGGGACCTAGAGGCTGCCCCAGCCAGTGAGCCCCAAGCCGCCCCTCTCTCCATCCCTTCCACCTGCAGATGCTGAGGCCCAGGCCTCCTCGGCAGCCCTGCTTTCCCAGGAGGCCATGCTCAGAGCCCAGACCGTGGCCTCACTCGGAGGACCAGACAGCATCCTGGGACAGGCCCGAGAGGCCCGGCGGTGCACAGAGCTGCTTCTGAGGGGGACAGGCCAGCCTACAGGGACAGCTTTGTGGAAGTTAAAACTAAAAGGGCTGGTGGACAGGGTCCAGATGCTGCACCCACAGCTTCTGAGACTCCTGGTCAAAGCTGGAGTGGTGGGTGGAGATATGGATCACTGGTGGGGAGGGGGGTGGCGGCTGGCAAGGCAAGGGCTCTCTCCTAGGGGCGACCTGGGTGTAGAGCAATAGAGGGATCCGAGATGTGCATTCTGGATCCCCTATCTCGTTTGCAGGAATGCAGGGGTCAGGGTCGTGGGCTGGCCTGTGCTCCTGTACCCTGTGTTGTCCTCCCTTGCCCTGGGCCCCTGCCCACTGCCCAGTGGGCTCTGGTCGTCTCCCGTAATGCCTCTTATAGCCTGGACACAGTGATCGCAGCCTTGGAGCAGCAGCAGCAACTGGTACAGAGCTATAGGGGCCGTGGATGGGAGCCACGGAGGGGCCACGGGGCCACAGCTTGGCCATCGGGCTATAGGAGACATGTTTCACCTCTGACCCGCCCCTCCCAGCTGCAGCAGATCCAGGCCACAGCAAGCTCCACGGGAATCCAGGCTAGGGAGATGTGGCATCGGGCCGGAGGGCCCCGGCGTGTGGCCTCCACAGCTGCTGTGCAAGCAACGGTGCATAGGATCCAGCGTTTTCTCTTGGGTACATGTCTCCCAAGCTTGTGTGTCTGCTTCCAGCTGAGGGCTGGCCGTGGGCATTCAGGCCCCTGCCGTGACACTCCTCCCAGGACGAGGCCACGCAGAATGTCTGACCAGGGCTCAGGCGGGGGGACTAGTGTGTTGGTAGATGTGTGACAGGTGGCTGGGGGTCTGGGGGCCCGGCTGTAGCGTGTGTCCCTTTCCACAGTGGAAGTAACCCCTCCATAGCTGAGTACAGTCTACCTACCATGTAACAACTGGTTCACAAGTTCCTGAAAATGTAATAATTGTCCCTTGTAAGCCTCCAGCATACCGTGCAGTCCTGTCAGAGGCAGGGTCAGTGAGATGTTAGGGTCAGGGTCCATTGGGTCAGGGGTCAGAGTTCACATCCAACATTCCTACCCCCACAGAGGAAGGTGCAGATGCCGTGAGTGTGGAGCTGGCGGCGTGGCGTGGGCTAGCTGTGCCCCTCCCCCAGGGCGGGGCAGCCGGCATCGCCCTCCTGCTGGATCAGATCCAGCATGCCCTCCCTTCCCCGGACACTGCAGGCCAGGAGCTGCCCAAAGCCAGAGGTGTCCTCCGTCAGGCGCAGCAGACCAGGTGAAGGGCCAGGAGGCCGGAGGCAGAGGTCAGAGGGTGGGGAGGAAGGGATGCCTCCTGACTGTCTGTACCTTTCAGGGAGGGCGCAGCCAAGGCCCAGGACCGAGCGCTAGATGTTCAGGGGGTGCTGGCTGGGGCAGGAGCCGATGCAAGGGCTGCAGAGCAAGGGCTGCAGGCGGCCAAGCAGACACTCGGAGGCCTGGAGGCCGGCGTGCAGGAGGTGCCGCCCCACCGCGGCCTCAGCTCCCCGCACCTCTCGTTCCGTGGGGCCACTGTGGTCCCGTTTTCCCCTGAGGTCCCTGCCCCACTGTGACACCATGATGCTACTCAATGCCCTGACCATGTGAACACTCTACCTAGTTGCTCCCCTGCTGTGACCCCCTGTGATGCCCTGACCTTTGCCCCAGATGGCAGGGCACCTGGCCCGGATAACAATGGCAGTGGATGTGACCCCAGCCCTGGGGCTTCTGTCCGGCGCAGCGGTGGCTCTCAGGACCCGCTTGGCCCTGAGTCAGCGGCAGGCCCAGGAGGCAGAAGAGCGTTCGGCACATGCCGTGGGCTTGGCTGAGGGCCTGGGCAAGGTGAGACGGGGACCGTGGACTCTGGGGTCTCAGGGACCCTGTGGGACAGCGTGAAGTGGGATGAAAGCTGGGCCCAGGCTATGCTGCGCCGAGGTCGAGTCTCGGTTCTACAACTCCCTGCTGTCCAGGAGCCTTGGGCAGCAATGTGTTGGGTCTAGGTTTCAGGGGCGGGGTGGGGTTTCAGGTCCAGTCCTGCTTCAGGAGTTGCAGGTGGCCCGCTTAGGCATGGCGGAGTTGCAGGAGGGCACAAACAGCCTGATGGCCACGGTGAAGGACGCAGGAGAGCGGGTGCAGCGGACGCGAGCTGAGGCCCAAGAGCTGCTGAAGCAGGTGCAGGACAGCTGGAGCCGTCTGGAGGGTGCGTGCCGGCCATGGTGGGGCAGGTGTGGTGCGGCGGCAGGGACAGATGGGAGGGTCAGAGTTGGAACAGGGATGTGTGGGAGGGCCAGGGTGGGTCCAGGTCAGGTCCTCGTTCATCCAGGGGTCAGGGCTGGAGTGAATGGAGGTCAAATGTGGATTAGGGTTAGAGCTGATTTGGGGGTAGGGTCGGGGTCAGAATCAAGGGTGTGGCAGAGATGAGGACCAGAGTCAGAGACTAGGGCCAGAGGTCAGAGCCTGATTCGAACAACGTATCCCAGGGCTGGAGCGCCGTCTGGTGCAGAACGAGCAGACGCTGGGCGAGAAGGTGGCCACGCTCTGGGCCCTGGAGAAGCGGGCAGCACAGCTGCTTGAGCACCTGCGGCTGTGGGCCAGCGCGTATACCACCTGCTGACCGATGTCTAGGAGGCCACCGAGAGGGGCTCCTCGATGGCCTGGGTGACTCAGCGACCTCAGAGTGACCCAGGAACCTCCTGACTTTGAGAGACCACAGACCCCACTGAGTGCCTGCAAACCCTGAATGACCCTCCTGTGACCCTATGATGTCCTCCAGTTGCCCTCTGACCTTGAGAAATTAGAGAGATCACGTAAAGTTCCCTGAGGCCATGTAGTATCCTAGATGCTGAAAAGATCCTTGTCTCTGAGAGATGTGAAATTCTGAGTCCTTCAGTATCTCTGAGCCCCTCAGGTCAACTACATGACCCCCAGGGTGACCAGAGCCCCCCTACTCCAGATAGCCAGTGACCCTGAAAGTCCAACAAATTGACCTTCTGCCCCAACTCTTGGGAAGCCTGGTGATTGCCCTGAAGACCCCCAGCTTTGCTCCCTGGGCCCACGACTGCAGGTACTCTCCACCGGGCCCCTCGGAGCCAGGCTGACCCGGCCCTCCAACCCGCAGAGCGGAGCTTCGGTCCCCGCCTCAGTCCCAGGAGCCTGGGTGGGGCAAGAGCTCCAGGCAGCAGCCCGCATTCCTGCCGGGACTCCGGAACTCCCGGCAGGCCAGAAGGTCCGGAGCGGATGAAGAGCCACGAGATCTGGATGGGCTCCCTGCTTCTTCTTTGGTCTGCTGTCAGCCACCCAGCACCTGTTTGCACACTGAGGCTGTACTTCTCGTGCCTCCTTGCTTCGGTGACTGGTGGAGACAGAGACCCCTGGAACTGTGCCTCGGGCAGAGGGTGGCCGTTCTCCGTCTCTCCCCGTGTCCTCATCGTCTCCTGTCCCTCTGGATGGTGTCCTAAAGCTTTCTGCATCCCTGAAAGGGGGGCTTGACAGCCCCCGTCCCCGCACTGCCCTGGGTCTGAACGCCTGGTTGCTTTTGACTGCCACAACACCCATGACCGTTGGGGCAAAGGCTGGGTTCCGCGGGCCATTTGAAATCTCAAAGATCAGATTCCTAGTTTTTGCTTATGCCATGGCTCTACTTGGTGCACCCCCTAACTATGGTAGCCTAAAGCCCCAAACCCACCACCTTTCCCTTGCTCTGCAGAGGTCTGGGCATCGGGGCACAATAAAGATTTGCAGCTGAGCTGACCTGGATCTGGTTCCTAGACTGAGGGTCTTTTTCAGAGGGGGGAGGGGGCCTCTGCACAATGTTGCATTCCTGCCTGCGATCCACTCCATGCTTTCCTTCCTGCCATGATTCCCAACTTTGCTCAAAGTCGCCAGACTCTCAGCCAAGTGGAGGGACCGCCGCCTGCCCGCCGGACAGGGGACTGAGTGGGGACTCAGCCAAGGACCCACACGAGCAGGGTCAGCAAGGGGCCTCAAGGGAGGGGATGGGTGGGCACGTCCCCCAGACCGCTCATCCCCGATTCCCCTCCTCTTTAGGATGGAGTGGGCTGCGGGGGAACGAGGGAGGGACCCTCGGGGACAGCCTGGGCCCTGGGAGCTCCGCGTGGGCCTGCTGCTGAGTGGTGAGAGGGCCTGGTGAAGGCCTAGGGGTTTCGGGATGTGATGGCGGGTGGTGGGGTAGCTGGCCCTGGGGCTGCCCGCTGAGGAGCACAGTGGAACTGGCCGATCCACTGTTCCCAGTGCTGGCCACCTCCCTGGCCCAGGCCCCTGCCCCGGATGTGCCAGGCTGTGCTCAGGGAAGCTGCTACCCTGCCACGGGGGACCTGCTGGTGGGCCGGGCTGACCGACTGACCGCCTCATCCACCTGTGGACTGCACGAGCCCCAGCCCTACTGCATCGTCAGTCACCTGCAGGTGCTGCCGGCTGGCGGTGGGGTGGGGAGCTGAGTCAGTGTGGGACTGGCACTGGCTGAGGCCCTGACCCTGACCCTGACCCTGGCCCAACCCAGGATGAGAAGAAGTGCTTCCTGTGCGACTCCCGGCACCCCTTCTCTGCTAGAAACCCGAGCAGCCATCGCATCCAGAATGTAGTGACCAGCTTTGCCCCACAGCGCCGGGCAGCCTGGTGGCAGTCAGAGAATGGTAGGGCCGTGGGTGGGATGTGGGGTGAACAGGGCTGCCCACTAATAGCCTCAAGTCCCTGACCTCCGACTCCTGCCCCAGGTGTCCCTGTGGTCACCATCCAGCTGGACTTGGAGGCTGAGTTCCATTTCACACACCTCATTATGACCTTCAAGGTGCCAGCATGTCTGGGAGCCTGCTCGAGTCCCCCTGCTTGGCTCCCCCTTGCCCCTGAACAGGGTCCCAGCTCCCTTAGCCCCGCCCCCTTGAGCTCATATGCTGTTCTCTGGCTGCGCGGGAGGCTCCTCCATCTCCCACATCTTCCATCGCCTTCCGCCTCCAGGCCGTGCACATGCCGCCCTCATCCCGGGCCGGGTCAGGCACTGCCTCCTTGGGCCCCGTGATCCCTGAGCCTCCCCCAGAGGTGGCTGCCCTCCCCGATCATTGCTTGGCTTCCACTGGTCACCCCCACCTGTCTGTGAGCTGCTTGCGGGCAGGCCCCCGCTGGACAGAGCTCCTGATGGGCCTGGGCTGGACTTGGGTCCTGGCGCCCTCTGACCAGCCGTGCCCCCTGCCCAGACGTTTCGCCCTGCCGCCATGCTGGTGGAGCGCTCCGCAGACTTTGGACGCACCTGGCGCGTGTACCGGTATTTCTCCTATGACTGTGGGGCTGACTTCCCAGGAGTCCCACTGGCCCCCCCACGGCACTGGGATGACGTCGTCTGTGAGTCGCGCTACTCAGAGATTGAGCCGTCCACTGAAGGCGAGGTGAGGCCTGGGATCTGGGCTTAGAGCAGGAAGGGGGCCTGATGGGCCTGAGGGCAGGGTCCAGTGTCCCTGATGGCTCCATGCCCCTCCAGGTCATCTACCGTGTGCTGGACCCTGCCATCCCTATCCCAGACCCTTACAGCCCACGGATCCAGAGTGAGTGCTCCACCCTTCGGGCCTGGCGCGGTCCCAGAGTCCAGCGGGTGGCTGTTTGGGGCCTCGGTAGCTATTTTAGGTGCTTCCTAGGGCAGGTGCCAAGTCCGATTTAGCTCACATAGTAGCAGACGGGAGGTCTCCCAAGGTGACCTTGGCAGCTGCATCCCCTGGGTGGGTCTGGGGCAGCCAAAACCTGACTGGTCAGCTGGCCCCCAAGCCTTTGCCCCTACCCCTTAGACCTGCTGAAGATCACCAACTTGAGGGTGAACTTGACGCGGCTGCACACGCTGGGGGACAACCTGCTGGACCCGCGGCAGGAGATCCGAGAGAAGTACTACTATGCCCTCTACGAGCTGGTTGTGCGTGGCAACTGCTTCTGCTACGGACACGCCTCGCAGTGCGCGCCCGCCCCAGGGGCACCAGCCCACGCGGAGGGCATGGTGAGGGGCTCCAGGTGGCTGGTACGGGGCAGGGGGCAGGGGCAGGAGCAGGCGTGGATGGACAGCGCTGACCACCTGCCTGCCCACCCTCCTAGGTTCATGGGGCCTGCGTGTGCAAGCACAATACTCGCGGCCTCAACTGTGAGAAGTGTCGGGATTTCTACCACGATCTGCCCTGGCACCCGGCCGAGGACGGCCACAGTCACGCCTGCAAGAGTGAGTGCAGCCCTGGCCCCCAGAACTCTGTGGCCTGGCTGTGCCCCGAGTAGCACCTAGGGCTGGACGGCCGAGCCCCGGACACCCAGGCTGTGTCCAAAGCGTGTTCAGGCCTGGATGCCCCTGAGGACACTCTCAGTCCTCCTTGACAATCTGTTCTGGGTGGGGGGTCCAGTGTAGGGCTGCAGCCTTCACGTTCCTGAGCTCCCACCCACAAATTCTGGCCTGTGGTAGGGACCCAAGGGGGCACTAGGGCCCCCTATGCCCCTTACCCTTGGGACACGGCCCCTCAAGAGGCCTTTGCCCCGAACTCTCCTCCCCCAGAGTGTGAATGCCACGGGCACGCCCAGAGCTGCCACTTTG